ATCTTAATAGACGTTTCTGTGTAAGCTTTTATCCTTGAATCTTATATTAAAACAGAAGCCGAAGTAGAAGATTACAGATGACTTATACGAAGCCCTCAGGCGTCCACTAGGTCAATCGTGATTCATTGAAGTATTGAAGTGACGTTATATGATGTTAAGAGCATGATACCAAATTATAACGCTTTTGTAAACTGCACCAATCGCCGTCTAAGATAAGAATTGACGGCCTGGCGAAGGTTAGTATTTAATAACTCTGCAGATTATAACTTACGTATTAGTTTTATACCTACATACGGGATGATTTAGAACTTATTCGAAAAAATAGGTGCATGTACAGCTGTAAATCCACCAGTTGGTCTAAACAAAGTTGATGTACTACAGAAAAATAAAAATAGATATCACCGTTACCAATTTTTGTAAAAAAAAATTGTACGCCACCGAAAAACTGATCGACTGGATTAAGGCAAAAACTGACTGAGGACTAACATTGTGAGTGATCCCTAAAAGTTTATACCTACTTAATTATGTGAAACCCACTTTACAAAGCTATTGTTGCAACAAGTCTCACTTCCGACACGGCAAACTTTGATCAAGTTGGCGATCTGTTAACGTGCCGCTGGGTTCACGTGTTGGTCTTAACCCTAAAGCAGTTCGTCGTTTGTTTCCCTTGTCCTTTAGAGAACGATATGACGTCGTTGCTCTTTCACCGATTAAATTAATTAAGTAAGAGCGAGTATCAATAATTACCGTCTTCGCCGATATAATTTCACGTGCTGCATAAACGTGATTCACTGACGAATTACAATTGAATTGATAAGAGGTAGCTTCAAAGATCATACCTACGTATATTCGTTAATTGCGCGTATGCTTCCTTAAACGTCAGATACATAATTATGCACCTCTTGTAATCTTGTGAATTTGTATGATCGGTGAAAAAATGCTTCGTTTATTTTAAATAAAATATATAATGTAGAATTTTTCATGTTAATTACTTAAAAGTTTTTAATATGTGATGTGTTTAAAGTAGTTTAATGTTACTCTATTAATTTGCTAGATATAAATTGAATCTCTTATTTCAAAAAGTCACATTTTGTAGATTTATTAGAGATGAAGATTGAAGATATGTTCTATTTAGGTACTCTGTCCAAAATGAAAAATGTGTTAGAAATGGCGTTACCAAATGCGCTACCAACACTACATCTACATAGATCAGAAATTCTATTTTTACAAGTTGTAATTAAGTATTGTCTTAATCATTGCTATTGTAAGTAACATTCTTCCGTTATTTTATTTAATTTTCTTTAGATTTTGAAATATTTTTAGTCTTAGAAGATGAATATTGCATTTTCATCTTACTGGTAAGTCATGTATGACAAAAAAAATATGTTTTTGATTAATCTCAGACAGAAGAGTAGCTACTTTCTTAGAACTCACCCAGCCCAGGCGATATCATTATCGGAGCAATCACGACCTCAGTCGTAATCCTCTTAATGACTTATAACGAGTCCCCCTGCCGCAAAGTAGCCTAAATTAACGAAAATTGTGCTATAGCACAACAAGCCTTGATTTGAGTGGAAAATTATCCGTCGCCCACCGACCAAGGAGTACTGACCTATGCGTCGAGTTTAACAAGAAAGCGGATGCAGTTGGACAATCCAGACTACATTGGTCCTTGACGTCCTACCCACGCCACTGTTACAGGATTAAGATGTATTTTGTTGAGGTCGCCGAGGAATACTTGCTTTGTATTGCTTTATGCATATGCTTGTCTGTTTGTAGGAAGGACGATTGCGAGAAATGAACATGTATGTTCAATTCCCGAAATATTCTGCGAAAAAAAAAACATCAGATTGTAAGAACAACATAAATCCTTAAAGCACTTATTTGCTTATTTACGGGATATCTCAGCAGCAGTTAACGATTTTTAACGAGAAACAACTAAAATTTTTGAAATAACATCAGAAAAAATAATATACTTACCATTTATTTTGTGATATTATTTTAAGAGATTAATCCTGCAAATAATATATTTTACATAATAAAATTAACAGTTTAATGTGTAAAAAGAGCAAAAGGAATGTCGATTTGTGTAGATTTTACAGTGAAATTATTATCTTGTTAAAATTTATGTTGAAATTACCATCAGAGAGGGAATTTATCGTAGAAAACAATTTAAAGTCATCAGCAAAAAGCAAACCATATCCGGAAGATCGTTAATAAAGAACAAAAACAATAGCGGCCCCAAGTTAGAACCCTGGGGCACACCCGACGTTGCAAAAAATTGATTGGAAGAAAAGTTTTGATATCTAACCATAACTTGTCTGTCTGACAAGTAAGATGAAAATAGTTTCAATAAGATATTAGAAAAACCAAACCTTTCTAATTTTAATAGCAGAACATTGTGATCTATTTGATTAAAAGCTTTTTGAAAATTAGTATAAATTACGTCAACTTGCCTACTACTATCCATGCGCGACACGTGCTATTTAGCAACTTTTGTTTATACCAGAATATGCATTAGCAACAGCATCATGCTGCTTTGTTTATAATATCATATTTTCTGAAGGTTAAAACATTTAATTTCTCATTATGATATAGCGACACGAGAACGAATGTTTATTTGAGTATTATTTATTGTTAAAGAATGGAAAAAGTTAACATTTATTCGAATGCTGACATTATTTTATTATTTATTCATGGAGAGCACCACAAGATAATAAATAGGACTTGCAAGGTATTTAATGAGAGATATCCTCATTTACCGCCAATGAGCAGGCACATTATACGAAGAATATTAAGAAATCAATTAGAACATGGTCGAATTTCTGCACATAGAATTTTGCCAAAGCCGATAAATTTAAATGAAGGTAATGTTTTGGCATATTTTTATGCGTACCCTAAATCAATTCGTGCTGTTAAACAGGATTTAGGCATTTCAAAAACCTCCATCCAAAAGATTTTGAAATTTTGTATTTATTTTCTTTTTTCATTGTGAGATTTTTGGTTAGGCAAATCTATGTTCATAAAAAAGTATCCTCACGTTGATCAACTCATTGGCCTACTTCTTCCGCCCTTATTATCCCCTTATTGCGCAACCTTTTAACTTAATGCCCAAATAACTGTAATAAATCCCCCCCTCCCCCCCCCCTTAACGGATCCGCTAAATAATCTGTTTACGACCTCTCTAAAGTAGGAGCATAATTCGTATTTATAGCCTCGAACTCCTTAATAACTTTTAATGGACGATTTTTTATCGGATAAATTCTAGAGCTGGTAAAAGCAAACGTAAACAAACCATAAAAAGCTCCACGTGTCCGTAAAAAATGGGCGCTGCAAAAGTATACACATCCACGTCACACGAGCGTGAATTTCAACAGCATAATTACCCTCTGGAGGCGCCCGAAAAATATCCTCCACTTTAATTAAGCAGATACGCAGAATTTGAAAGCATCCAGACAAGCCGTAAGGCTCAGTGGCAAATGTTCGTCCTGACTGAGTAAATATCTGTTCTGCGTTTTAAATTTTTAAGTGATTGCTATGAGGAAAGCCATATGACAAAAGTGCTCTGGCGTGCAAAAATATTCACCTCAGTTCCGAATTTTTGGGCAATAAAACGTTATGTAATAACGTTAGTACTTAGTATAGTTAGTTATTATAGTTAGTTATTTTTTTCGAACTATATCAGGGTTCCCTATACCTATCTCTACTAGTTTTTAAGTTATCTCCTATTTTTTGTGTAATCAGCTCTTTATAAATCGATTTATTTATTGGCAATATTTTATAAAACATGTTTTTTTCTCCACTGTAATGCGCAGGAGACATAATAGACTGCTTATTCAATTAAGTATATAAATATAATAAAATCCTTTTTATTGATGTCTCTAAGCAACTGACATTCGAGATTCCCTTTTGCCTTAACAAAGCATGTAGCCAAACGTGCTGCACAGAAATAGAACTGTCAGTCGTTCATTACCTCTGCAAACTTTTGTCGTATCATAAGAAGGGATGTTGGTCGATTTTTACATGGTTCGGAGATTTTATCGTAGCAACTATTACGTAATCTAATGTGATAAGTTAAGGGGGTATTCAAATTTAAATTATGATTTATCAATATGTTGCTATAACAAGTTGGAAAATATATCGTTGAAGCAGCCTACTTTTGCCAATTCGCAACATCTTCTTCAAAGTCTCCTTGTGACATAATTAGCGAATATATTTAGAGACGTCTCTAGAAAATAATAGTAATAGGCCGTGACCAGGGCCAACCATACAGCATAAACCCCGTAATGTCGAGGTAACGTAAACAACCCTCGTAAACATCGTAATGAGGATTCTGGAATTGCCAATCAAGTTAATTAGTTCGTTGTTTGAAAATGCTACGATTATTTTGTTTTGCCATCAGACCTATTTTGTAAATGTTTGCCCTTACCACTTATACAATTAGGTTTAAAGGCGATTTTATTAATTTCTGTAGCTATTTCCAGAAATTAGATTTATCATATGTTTTAGCTGTTGTATATCGTACAAGACTAGCTTTTACATTCACGATAATTATGTAATTGTTACCTCTGATTACTTTTCAACTACTTATGAGAAAGAAAAACAATTAAACTGTAGCAACAAAAAAGCAGCTGTGACTTGAATTTATCTGAAAAGTTTAATTGATTTATGGTGTAAAGTTGGATCAAACACAACATTCGTGCAACGTTGAATGCCCTTTAATGATGCTTTTAGTTTTATAACTTTCATAGAGCACTACCCTTTCAGGTACTAAATAAATTAACATGCTGTGACGACTAGTACTAGTACAATTTTTTTATAACACTAGTCATGTCCAGCTAAGCAAATTATGCTACGATAAAAATTGAATATGGTCTCCATAAGTAAAAAGAAAAAAAAAAACGAGTCTACTTGTTAATTTATTAACATTTTTCTAAACAGTTTTAGGACATATCATTAATTTATCATAATTATGAATATGAATTACTGATGTTTGTACCTCATTCATTTTTCTGATCGAATATTTTATACAAATGTTCGATGATATCATCCTCGAGCGTAGCTCTCAACTCATCCTTCTCGAACCAGTCGATGTAGTGATTATATATTTCGAAATTCCTATGATCCCAGGCGATACGTAGGGGAGTCCTACCAGCAAGATCAGTAGAGTACAAATTCGATTCTCCGCGTTTTAATAAACTTTTTGCAGCAGGAAGGTAACCCGTGATTGCCACGAAATGAAGGCAGTTCCTTTTAGAAATGGGATGTACGCAATATATGTCAACACCGTAACAAAGCAGTATTTTTATAAGTTTCAGTCGCGCCATAGTGTTGCAGTTTAGTACACATTCTGAAATGGTGAAACGGTTTGAAAGTTTTGATGTCTGCCAAATCGTTCGTTAGGTACTCTTTTTAAATGGTTTTTAATAGAAATGATCTATTCGGGAACCTCGTCGTGTTAAAACGAGTTAAAATAATAAATTCCCGAATTTACTACAAGAAACAGAGCATACTAAAACATATACGAGTGCATAGAACATACTGAAACACACAACTATTTAATTAATAAATTCCCGAATATCTCTTCGCCATACCAAACTTTTTTATTTTCATTTTTTTTTTAATAATTTACCTTTATGAAGTAGCGACTATACTTTTCTAATAATAACATTGTGTAGAACACTTATATACAGGGTGGTACCTTAGTCTAAAAGTTGATAATTAAAGAGATACAGGGTGTTAAATGTAAAATATTATTTTAGTTGATTTCCATTTATTTCTTAATAAATGCAAATATCTACACAAAATTTTGGGGTTTGGGGTTCTTTGAGTAGAGGAATTGAAATCTGTTTACATTTTGGTTAAAGTTCATAGAGGGCGCTAGCTGCAGTAGCTCATCTTTGGTATTGTCACCGAACCCGAGACTTTGCATTAAATCTAATGTAAAATAAATACAAAATCATCGTAGACAGTGAAAATACGGCGACATCGCTGTCATCAGTCATCAATAAAATAAAGATAGTGACAGTCATATAAATACGAATCGACTACTGACTCTCGGACCACGGTAAAACCATAAATCAGACTATTATTTTAATATCAAACCATTTTCGAAAGTTTATGTGATTTTTTTTTTACAAAAAAAAGTAACACGAAATTCTACGCCTTCCAGGAGTCTCACTAGTCGCGGCTTCGAAAAAATCGCGCAACAAGAATCCAGTAGAAAACGGAGGCGAAGACAGTATCAAATTCTTATTTTCCAACTTTTTTTACATAAAAAAGGTAGACTTTATGAAAGTAGCTGTCTCGCACCGTTTCCGAGATATTTAGCTTTGAAACTTCCAATGCTAATAGTTGAAATAATTAAAATAATTTAGAAATGTCAAAAACAAGGGTTTATTTAGAATTAAATATTGTAATGCACAGTAAAATAGTAAACATTGGTATAAAAATATGCCTTTTTGACAATAATTGCTCAAAATGCTCACCTCTAACTTCAATACATTTATCAACACGTTTATTAAAATATTGTCTTATTTTAAAGTATAAATCCTTAATGCGAAATGACTTTGCAGCATTTAAAACCTGCTACTAAAGTTCTTCTCAAGTGTTTATAGTTTCTCCATAAACAATTGATTTCATGTAACTCCAAAAACGAAAACCTAGTCATTCTATCTCACATTTACGTATACGAGTATACAATTTATTTTGTAAGCTAAGATGTAATTTTAATTAGATACGAATAATACTTAATAGAAATTAGCATACAAATGACAGCAATAAGACAAGTGGAAGACGTTATTTGATTTTCGTCCAAATCCTACTTAAGAAACTTTACCGCTAAATTAATAATACCTGTAGGTACTTAATTGTAATTTAATGCAACAGCATTGGAAGTTTCAAATATCTCGAAAACGGTGCGAGATAGCTACTTTAATAAAGTATACCTTTTTTATGCAAAAAAAGTTGAAAAATAACCTTAAAGTACAAAAAGTTATGTCGTTTTTAACACATTCAATCTACTGCCTCTATGAACTTTAACCAAAATGTGAACAGATTTCAATTCTTCTACTCAAAGCACTCCAATCCCCAAAATTTTGTGAGGATATTTGCATTTGTTAAGGAATAAATTAAAAAAAAACTGAAATAATGTTTTACATTGAACACCCTGTATCTTTTTAACTATCAACTTTTGGATTTTTAGAGTATGATGATGTCGCCCTTATTAAGTATCCAAATTACCTCTTCCTGAAGGTACCCACCTAGAAATAGAGGAAACTTTTTTGTTGAAGTGGCATTGGCCCCCTTCTTTAACAGCATCACGCTCAGTGGTATAGAACCATGGTCAATTACAGCTATGGACAGCGGAGTGTTGTCAAACGCATCCAATACGTTAATATTAGCTCCATTCGCTATTAAGTGATTACTTATTTTCAAACTATTACCAGTGCAAGCCATGTGCAACGCTCTTTGTCCTTTCATGTTTACTATTTCAGGTTCGGCTCCCTTGTTTAACAGTTCCTTCACGAAATCCTCGTGTCGATATATGCAGGCGAACATCAGAGCTGTATTCCCGTCAGGATCCGTTTTGTTTATGTCGATTTTGACAGATGACATTAGTATCTTTCCCATTGGTGTATCACCACATATAGCTGTGTGGTGAAGTGGGGTCATATCATCGTCGTCGGTCACATTGGGGTCCACCCCTAAGTTGATACATTCTTCCACGACCTGTGTGTTGCCTTGGTAGAGAGCGTCAAAAAACTTGGCCTCTAGTTCATCGGTATCTAATTTAAGTGAAGTGTCAAACAACTGATTTTATAACATTGGATACTACCTTCCTTCCAGATTCTAAAGCCCGAGGTAGACCTCTTATTTTTGTTGAGCATGGGCTTGGGGTTGGACGAGGAAGGCAATTCTGATTCTGACATTTCATTGAAGTTTTGTGGAGACAAGACGTACGTGAATAATGTCCAGTTCACAGATAACTACACCGATTTAACAGAACCTCTGATCTGGACTGAAATACTGGTTTCATAAGGTACGATACGAAGAAAGGGTTATATTACAGAATATTGAGAATTTATTAATATATTTTTTAATTCATTTGTTGACATTCGACGTTGATTTTTATAATTTTAATAAACAAAAACATAGCAACATTTTTTCTCCTCCAAGCACATGTTGTACTAACTTCTTCCCGACGTAGACCGATCGAAATAACTCATTTAGAGGGGAAAAAAAGGAAATTTTTTCTTTGGCTTTTTTTAGTTGGAATTTTTAAGGGGGTTTTTATTAACGGAGAAAATTAAAAATTAATTGGTTAGGCGGGGTTGGGGGGGGTTTGTTTTGGGGGTTTAAAAGTTTTTGAAAATTGTATCATTGGGATTTCTGGCGAAAGTTGAAGTCAAACGAAAAAGTATCCAATACAAAAATTGTAGATCATCAAAAATCTACAACTTTTGTAGAGGATACTTTTTAAGATAACCTCAAATTTCTGAGAAAAATAAATAGCCACAAATTTAAGACACATAAAGGTATTCTTTCACCAAGCTTCGTTAAAATTAAATTATTTTTGCGGAAATGAGAAATAAAAAAGGAAAAATCAGAAAAAAACTGTTTTTTGCATTTTTCTCGGAAATTTTGAGCTATCTTAAAAAGCGATCCCTACAAAAGTTGTAGATTTTTGCACGATCTACATCTTTTGTACTGGATACTTTTTTGTTTGACCTCAACTTTCGCCAGAAATTCCAATGATACAATTTTTCACAAATTTTCATCCCCCCCAAATCACCCCTCTGCCACCCATTTATTTTTTTTAGGTTTAATATGAGCCCTTTTACCATTTCCACTTATAAAAAACCAGGTAACAATTTTTTTCCTCCAAGTGTAATTTGGTTGGACTAACGGGAATATATCGATCTAACTTCTTCGAGACATTCCCAGAAATATCTTAAAAATAACCAGACGTCGCTTATCACCCGCAAAATGTGAAGCGGCTGTTCTGGCAAGGCCACGTGGCACCTGAAGCAACATGTGCTTGTTACGAGCTTAAGATCTCGACGCGAACAATTAATTCTATTATACTATTCCGAGAGATCTCAATGATGAGGTGTGAAGGCGCTAATAACTTGCAATCTGATGATCCATTATTCGCTCCTGTTACAGGCTTAAGCTGTTAAAAAAAGGTCAGAGTTCGGGATTTTATATACACCTACAAGGAAATTGAATAAACCGCCTATAAATACATACGGATTTATTTTTGCTCAGTTGTAATAAAATTCGAAGCTCTTAGAAATATTACGTCTAGAATTATATGGTTGGAACATTTCACTACGATCACGCATATTAAAAACAACAATAATTTAATTGAATTGACTGTATTTTGTTAGATATGAAGTTTATCCTTTAGTCTTAACTATAACAGTTTTAAGTTTATCACAATTCAATGAATAAAAGACACATTTTTCACTTGTTTAACCAACGCAGGTTTGAGGTTTAACTTTAAACCCGTTTTTTTACAAAACGGCTGATGTCAACGACAAATACTACGTGTAGCGTTTGTACATAAAATTGAATAGAGAATAGGTATGTAACTAAGTAAATATTTGAGTTTCTCATCATCATTATCACGTTTCCCGAATTTCGTTAAATTGCAATGTTATATTGAACAAAAATATAAACAAAATAACCAAACAAAAATTTTTTTTTGACGCTCTAAATCTCAATAAGCAAGCCGTTGATGACTCATGTTCATATGAACTTTTTATCTTAAAATTAGTCAAAGATTCACCCTTTAAAGTTTGTACAAGTACTTAATAAATACTCTGTGTAGTATTCATGCAACTTCTTACAAAATTATACTAGTGCCGCATAAGCATTTAGATTTGTTATGTAAGTTTCTAAAACGGGATCTTTATTTGCCTGATCATGTCAGTTTCAGGAAACACATTCTCTGCAAGAAGTCTGTCTTGAATATACCGAGTGTTTAGCGTTCCTTCTCTATAAATTTCCTCGATATAGACCCGTATCAATTTCCTTAAAAAAAAATGTCACTATCAATCAACTAAAAAGTCGATTTCGATTAATTTACTGTATTTACTCATCCATTTTTCTCTGAATTAGCGTTGAAAATAGATTAATTTGCGCCTTTCGCAATAATATTTACATAATTTAGTTGCTTTCACACAGTAGCACATGAATTATGTTCAAAGTTGCCACTGCCACTTAAGTATGAATTAATTTTCAAGTAAAATATTTTCACTTTTATTTGATTTTTTTTAACACTTTGGTATATCTCACAAAGCAACCATAAGGAAAGTGACAGACATAGATTGATTCGATATTTATCATTTTCCTGTTCGCAAAGGCATTGTTAAATCATTCGTCAATGTCATACTGATGAGAACCAACAAGTTCGAAACAGGTCTGTGGCTGATGATCTTGATTATCAATGAATATAGCTGTATATTAGATATAGAGAAACCGTAACAAAATCCCTTGTTCCTCATACATGAATAAAAAAAATAACATCATAAAATGTTACTACTAAATAGCGATATTAGGGATAGTATAAGTAGATTTTAGTATTTAATATACCTAATACCTACAAACCAACGTGTATGGATTTAAATATTATACAAACGTTATTTTATAAATCCGTTTCTAGGCAACAGTTCGATAAATCTTGCACGAGGACAATATTCGTAGCGTGCCTTGAATCGTGCCTACCCTTGTGGATCCTGTAGGTGTTGCTGGCATCTTTCCGCTTCTCTACGGGACGCATCCGATTGTTTTTCGAGTGGTTGTGTCCCTAAACGTTTGTAAACATGTGCCCCTGTTATGGTAATCACACATCAGTGTAGAATCCTAGACGTCTTCGTGAACGTAATAAAATGTGATTGACATAATATACGGGGTGTATCAGAATAACGTACAAAAAATCCCAAAGATAAGACTTTTAGCTTTTTATTTGCTCTGAAACAAATGTCAATGGCAATGAAACAGTTGTATTCTTTATATTATTTAGTTCCAGGTCACTTGTGTAAAAAAAAAAGTATGCTTCTATTAAGGACATGAGGATGCCACTGAAAAACAGAAGAAACTAAATAGAATTTATTATCCAAACTTTGGTAATAGACTACAACTACATAATAGTAATCATCACATAGAGTATCATAAAAATAATCAGGTTAACTGGACTTTGTCGAAATCTTCCTTGTCAAATACGTAGATTTGTTCAAAGGAACCATTGGCACGACCTGTATATTTAGGACTGTAATTGTATATAAAAGCTTCCTTCTCCATTGCTTCATTTGGAAACTTTCCAGGGCTTTTCCTGCACTCATCAACGAAGAAATCCGAGAAATAGTGCGATATCTTCACAGCTTCATCGTCGTGAGGAATCTGCTTCTTTCCGAACTCGAACTGATTCTTCTCGGGATGGAACTGAACGCCGTATATGGGGTACTGCGTAGATTCCATGGAGGAAATGAATTCGAAGTCGTATTCGTCTTTGTTTGTGGATAATATTTTCCAATCCGATAAGATTCCATTTCGTTCTAGAACTTCTCTTGTTAGGCAATAACTGTGGTAGTTGAAAGTAACGTTGTACTTGTTTAAGATCGATATTATATCCTCTGGTGCTTTTTTAAATAGTCTGCTGTTTTCAAATCCTGAAACAAAAATAACTTACCTAGATTGAGACAAAAAAAATCACATCGAATGTAAGCGTTTCATCCAACTATGTAAAAATATACAGGAGTTCCTTAAAAAACTTATGTTTTCTAAAAGCTTTGAAATCACAAGGAAAGCAACACTAATAAAGGAGATATAATATTGTTTCGGCATGAGATAAGATTGAAAAAAATGGTTAGTTGTTTAAAATTCAAATTACTTTGTTGGATAATTTTTCTGATGTGACAAATGATGCAAAAGAAACTGGAATAATTAGCCATCTTCATAGCAAAACACGTTTTTCTTTCCACGTAAAATATGTGTATAATATTCTTGGATACTATTTATATACACTTTGATCATTCTATTCCGCCTACAAAGTAAGCTCATACCTTCCACGAAATCCAGGGGTATAGCCTTATTTTTTAACGAGCAATCCACCCTTATATCTTCCCCAGCGGCCACGAATCCTAGCACTTGCATTCCCAAACAGGTACCCCACACAGGATAATAGCGCCCTTTGTTGTTGGCTTCCACAGCTAGCGAGTAGATCGTCTGAGCCGCCTCTCCATAACCTCCGGACTCGTTAAAGTACGTGCCACCGCCAGGAAACAGAATTCTAAAACCGAATTGTATTGTAATTATTACCTAACATCGACATTAGTATCCAGTACACATACGTTTTTAAAACGTATTTTCCCAGTGACAATAATTCGTGGTATGTTGGGAAATCAACCGTTCTTTTGTGGTTGAAAAAATGAACATTATTAAAAGTAGGTAGTTAAATTATTCTTTTAAACGTCCATAATATATATATCAGCTGAATAATGTATTGAGGCTAAACAAACACATTTTTATAAGGTTTTACGATTGGGTTAGGTTAAGTTAGGTTAGGTTTTACACGAATAACCTTGTATTGATGTATATTTTATGTAGGCGAATTTCTATTTTTTTGTTATTTTGTAAGCATTTTCTCACTGAATGAATTGGATTAGAAATTTTTTATAACGGGTCTATTTTAGATGATCTAAAAATAATCAAATTCTTTCAGGACGGTTTTAGACAGTTTTATATGTATGCTAAACGTGATTTAGATTAATGAACGTTTTTTGGAAACTTAAATCTGCGAAATTGAAGTTTAAAATGAACACCAAGTGAAATATACTTTTCCTTATGTACCTACCTATATACATGTCTATATATGTAGGTATCCTATCTATATATGTATCTATTTATTCCGTGACATTCAAGTTTCAAAGTTTTTTTAACTCCTAATGTGTGAAACATAGTTTTTGATCATTTAGTCAAGTAAAACTATTAAATCCTGTATAGCCAATGGAGATTTTGGAAATTATCGTGCTACATTGTACACTGGAAGTTTTATAAACATTCAAATAAACATTTCAGTAGACACGGCAGTGTTAAAAAATACAGATAAACCAACTAATTTGATGTGAAAAACCATTGGAAATGTAAACAATATTATAAAGTTGATATTTTTGGATTTAGGCAAGAGTAATTCTATGTGAATAAATATTTACCCATTTGTATAATTTACGACTCTTCTGTAGTAATCCTTGTTTTGTCCAATCCTGTAACAAAACAAAAATCGGCCTAACAAGTCCCTAATGTGATATTTTAAGCAAAAATAAGTCACCCTTACTGGCATCTTACAATTTGCAGATTGATATTTTGATCTTACGACTTATCAAATTCGTCTCGTCAGCAATTTGTTAGAAAACTGTTGTTCCTAGAATAATTTTACTTAACTTGAAGTATTTGCTTTCAAATATACACTGGGAATTAAAAAAGTATTTGATATGTCGAAAATGAAACTTTATACAAAATATTACAATGTAACAAATATCAAGAAATCATTTCTGGCAGTTCCTGTTGTAGCAAAGGTAGAAACCATCTTTTTATCTGTATTATCGGTATGTTGCAACTATTCACATATGTTTTGATAGTTTATAAGGTCTATGGTTTCACCCGACAGCAGCAACTGATTTTATTAACAATTCTTTTACTTATGCAATTAATTACCGGTTTCTGAAGATCTTGTAAAAAGAATTATATTATATTTACCACACGGGTATGACTCTCGCACCAGAACTCTCCAGGAATTTCACGTAGGAAGCTGCGATGTAACTGTCATGTTCCTCGGAAAAATACTTAGCGACCAAGTACGTCTCTTGAGACAGAATCCCTATGATCGGGCCATCTGTAGCACAATTAATGTATATTAAAGACAGAACCACAAGAAGTCTGAACATTTTTATTGCAGCTCGATCGTTGTGGAAACATCAATTAACAGCACATCTCGAATCAAGAGTCCCGAGATGAGATAAAATCTCTGATAAGCCCAGAGGATATTAATGCTTGAAGACGGCGATAAATTCCGATTGATTTCGTCTGCACGGATTGACGTGAAGATTTGCGTGACAGATACCAAAGTTGCTTGTCACTGTGCATATAATTTATAGTAATCTCCCCCAAAAGCATAATGGATAAATAATTAGGGAAAAGAACTACAATTAATGAAAATTACTCGCGACTTAGATTTACTTATTTGTCTATTTTTTTGAGATGTGCATGATCATGAGTTAGAATAAATAATAGAACTAATGTAATTTTAATACGAACCTCCTTTTTCGTATACAGATGGCAGATTATCGTTTACTGCATCTTGTACCATATCTCCCGAAGACTCTACTTGTTTTTTTGCACAAGTACCTAAATCAAGAATTTCAAAAGTTTGTTAAACTACTCGGTATATTAGAAGGTGCGAAAAAATGAGAAAATAAACCCAAATCCGCATTCAACATGGCTGAAAGTGATTATCAAGATATAGTGATTTTTTTTTGCGTCAACTTACAAAATTAATTCTCAGTCCATCAGTTTTTCAAACAACAATAACAGCGTGAAAGTTTTAGGCAAGTTTTTTGTAAAATTTAAGATTATTTAAAGGCATGTAAATACATGGATATGTTGTTATTAATTTATGTGTAAGCAGACTTATGTAAAAGCGAATTTTCACACAAAATGCTTTAGAACAATTCGGGCGAATTGTATGGTCAGATAAAACAGAGTCATAATAAATCCGAAATATTGGTGTCAAAGTTTTACATATAAAAGCTGTTTTACATTGACAATTTATTGATCAATTAATTGATGAAGTCGCTTCATCAAGAAATTGGACAAGTGTAATGCACCAAATCTGCTGTCAAAGTTAAATAACTTCATGAATTTATTCATCAAGTTCTTGACGAATTAGAGCATGTTCTAATTTTCGTCAATTTCTTCGTGAAGTTCGGAGGTACCAACCCAACAGATTTCCAGACTCAGATCAGTAATGAGGTTATGTTATTGGAATATGTAAATAATTGTGTGGCGTCGTACTAGTTTTGCATTGTTTTTACTGATTTGTTACTTACAAACACTAATATTCATATAATATGGGTACAATTATGAGTGGAAAGGTGACATTTTTGAAATTTATTTGCTTCTTTGATTGGTTGGTCAAAAAACTTGATAAAGTCTGTAGCAGTGTAAAACCATACTGTTTACCAATAAATTCGTGAATTAATTCATGAAGAACTTCGTCAATTTATTCATCAATAAATTGTCAATGTAAAACAGCTATTAGAAGTACAGTATTGCAAGTTAAAAGGTTTGGTTCGTTTTTTCCCCCCTAAATACAACTAAAAGTTATAAATTTTAAGTAGACTCTAATTTCTGGGATTTTTGAGGTCAATTCAATAATGTTGTATATGGCTTTATCCTTGTTTGCCGTTTACTTTTTTATATTATGCACAATAACAAAAAGAGGTAGATATTTTGGACATTATCCCTCATTTGAATGGTTCCTTTCTGTTACCGAGCGTAATTACCCCACTTTCCTCTAATTTAAGGTTATGCACTTAAGGTTGTTCTCTCTTCTTTGACCCCTAAAAATCAGTTAAGATATTCAGTCGTCCAGACATCAAATATTTGTCCACATTAATTTCCATATCAATTAAATCTTTGTGCTAATATGTAGATATTAATAGAAAAATTCATTATATCATACCAGGATTAAATATAAATAGGTTTATTACCTTGTTTTTAAGAGCTATAAACTGATCAACCAAAGACTGAGCAGGTAACTACACGCAATTTTGTGGGTTCCGGTGTCGTTTATTTTTCGACTATAAAACAAAAACACTATTATCGAAAAATCACAGACAAAATATGTATTAAAATAAACCTAAACTAATTACTATGTCAACATGATACTAACGTTGATTTATGACGAGCAGTCACTTATCTAGCGTTAAAATATATACAGTATTTTGAATTTGAATATAAGCTTAGAAGATTATAAATTTTAAATGGTAACATAACGTAAATGGAAATGAATCTTAGATATTCATAAAACTCAACCTGTAAACATATAAACAACATTCGAATTTAGTATAACATGAACATAACTAAGCAAGCCCATGTCCTCACGATATATAACAATCAAAATTATATGTCGTCTCGAATTTTTATAATGTAAATTCGGTATTACATGAATTGCTGAGAGAATTTAATCACTGCAAGAAAATATTTACCTACCTTCTGACTGTGATTGATGCTGCATGAGGGCATGTTGTATTAAAACAAAGCAAAGAAAGCACATTCGTGGTCACTTAAAATACGAGATATTGGTTGTATGATCTAATAACCAATAATATGATATGCAGTTGAAAAACACAATGCATCATCATAATCAATATCGACTAAAACAAAGAGAATATTATTTGATTAGATAAACATGACACACCCAAACGGTGTATTTATATCTGTATATTGTTGTTTTTATTAATGAGTTTGCGACAGCTGAGAAAAAAATTGCAGCGTTTTGTTCAATCAAAATAAAACCACGAAATAGTGTCTTTCCTAAATGACTATTGTAATCTTTATCGCACTATTTTATGCTTCAGATTAAATTAATTTGCTCATATTCTAGTATCTGTGTGTTGTCATATTTATTGTTAGTTGCCAAAAAGCTCAATGTAGCGGATAAATTTTATAGTTTGTCAGAAGTCAGAATTCCTTCAGTTATATCTTGATAGAATTTTGTCATACAAAATTTTAAGAAACATTAATTTCATTTATTGTTAAAATATTTCCATCTGCTTCAATACCGTTTTGATCTGATTGTGATTTTATATTATACTTAAATAATAGTTTCTTTCAAAATTCAAACATGAATTCAAATTAGCTGTAAAATGAGTAATAAGAATTCAGTGCATGTTTCAAAATCGCTTGTTTATTATTTTCCAACTAAAAATAATTATCTACGTATAAATCTACTTTCTATGTAAATGTTACGTTTTTTAATAATCACCTTTGGATTGTGCCTTACAGTTTAGTAGGACCGTATTTTTATTTAGAATTAATTTTTTGGCACAGATTCTATATATAATATATGCAGCTTGGCAACATAAAATTAGACGACACAGACATGCTATGTTAAACCATGACCTTTTTAATAATGTTTAGGATACAAATATAAAACAACCTTTGAGGCAGTTGTCGGTATCATTCATGAAATATGAGGTAAATTGAAACACTTCTTAAAACCACGGAAAAGCACAAACTGGCATTATGATCGATTGAATCACAGAACGTAGCATCTGACTGAACTCAAAATGGAGACTAAGCTGAGCACTTGGAAAATTCACAATAGGGAAATGGCAGTAATATACCAAATAACATCATGTGTACAATGTTATCATTGTAGGCTGAAAATATTAACTAACTGAAATCAACTGCTAACCACAGACGATGAGCAATGAGTAAAACTAACCGACCGCGTAACTTATCTATACGCACTATACATTTCCTTAATTGTTAAAATGCTTAATTGCATTTTTTATAAACAGATTCAGGTCTTGCTATTGCCACTATTTCTCATCTACCCTCAATAGGTACCTATTACATACATCTGAAAATTGTTAGGCCAAATATAAGTGTCACTGTAATATACATGTAGATACAAACAAATACTGCATGATATTTACATAAAAGAGAATATGATTTGTATATATGATGATTTGAATAGTTATTTAAAGTACAAATCTAAAACGAAAGAGAAAATATATGTTTTCCTAAAATTAGTGTAATTTATACAGTGTCCCAAAAAAAGACAACAATCTGTATATTGCAATACATATTTTAGAATTTATTTGCAAATACTTACATCGATACGAAATTTCGTATTTATTATTATTGATAGTAACTACCTAATGGAAGTAGAAGCAAAAAGCATCAAGTCTGTTTTTCACATTATTCGCATGATTGAACTCTTTTGAGTATGTCTCCTGTCTCCTCTATCATTGGAGCTATATGCGCATTAAATATATTAGAATTTCTGTTCAATGAACATATTTATTCATTTTTCTTCTTAGGAGTCATTCTATTAAATTAATTACACTAATTTTCCAGTACAATTTTGGTTTCTGAAATTTAGTGATATCTCTGTTTCGAACCATGTACTATTTCATATTTTTTTGCCCCTGTACATTATGCAGCCACTTATACGATGCTGTCGTATAAATAATTGTCATATGCACGTGTTTCCAGATGAAATTTCATTGGCTGAGCTTAGATTTAGGTTATGTCATGAAAGTTGATGAAATTTGTTAACAATCAACATAAAATGTTCAGAATAAGATTATTGAAATATATAACACAGAAACAGTTTATAAATAATGTAATTCCTTTATATAATAATGTAAACAGGCTAGGATGCCAGAGCATATCGAATATAAATGCAAAACAAAGTTTAATACAGTACGAGATAAATGCTAAAGAAGCGAGTGCCACAAATAAATTAGAAAATGAAAACCTTACAGAAAAAGAATATCTTGTGCGACTGAAAAATGACCCGGACAGGTTTGGCCCCCCACAAGAAAAAGAAATTATCGATGAGGGTGACGTACAGGAAGAAAAATACTTCACAGAGCAACCAAGCCCCTCACAAAAACTTCGAACCAAACAGTACGCAGATATAATAAAAGGTTTAATAAGGCAGCGTAAAATTAAGGAAGCGATAGACGTGGTAGAAGTTAGAATGTTAAAAGAGGATCGAGTGAAACCTGAAAATTACCTTTACAACTTATTACTTGGAGCTTGTGGCAGAGTTGGATATACAAAGAAGGCGTTTAAGATGTATAACGATATGAAAAAGAGGGGTCTGAAAGTAACAGGTGGAACTTACACTGCTTTATTTAATGCTTGTGCAAATAGTCCATGGCTTACAGACGGCCTGGAGCGAGCTACTCACTTACGCAACATAATGATTGAAAAAGGTTATGAGCCTAACGATACGAATTACAATGCTATGATCAAAGCATTTGGTCGTTGTGGAGACATAGCCACGGCGTTCACTCTGGCGGATGAAATGTGCTCAAAAGGTTTTAAAATCAAAGATGACACTATAAATTTCTTGTTACAAGCTTGTATTGCTGATAAAGACGCAGGTTTTCGACATGCCTTACTAGTTTGGCGGAAGTTAATTAAAAGAAAGATATTCCCTAGTGTGCATACATATAATTTAATGTTAAGGTGTATCAGGGACTGTGGTTTGGGTGATATAGAAGTTACGGAGGATGTTATTAATAAAATATTATCTGATAGCAATGGACTTTCTAAAAAACATACAGAAAGTAACGGTCTAAAATTACTTTCACATAATAATGAGATTAGTGATCAAAACTTTCATAAAAGTGAAGACGTAAATTTAGTCACTGAAAATTCTACTGACAATTCTCATCAAAGTGAATCTGAATCTACAACTATTTTTCCGCAAGAAACTACAATACAGACTAGTACCTCAAGCCATATTAAAGATCTAAGGCCAAATTTAATGGCGCGGATCCCTCATTTAGGAAGTCTTATATCATTGTCTGAAGTAAAAAAACCAGAGGAGCGTTTGTTACTTGTGGGGGGCTGCAGGAGTTTCCTTGAAAATATGAAGGAGAATAACTGCGCACCCGATATTAAAACCTTTACGCAGCTGTTGGACAACATTCCTAGTACTATGGCATCAGAGAAGGAGCTATTATCCTTTATGAAGAAATTTAACGTTAAACCTGACATAGATTTTTTCAATATGCTCATTAAAAAAAGGAGCATGCGTTTCGATTATGAAAATGCCAAGGTATGGTTAAAAAACTTCCAATAAATTTTTTACTTGTTTAAATTATCTATTTTAGGCAGTTGTGGTGTCCATGATGGAGCAAAACTACAAACCCAATCTTATAACTTATGGCGTGCTGGCATTGAGTTGTAGAAGTAAAGAGGAGGCTATGGAGTTGTTGGACGAGATGAAATTGAAAAGTTACCAGTAAGTCTTACAGAATGTTATTGTATACGGAACTAGCTCTAAAAACTATATTTTATTTCCAGCTTGAATATTCAAATACTGGGGGCCATGCTGCGCCAAGCTTGTTTCCAGGTGAATTTTGGTTATGTACTGAAAATTATGGAAACTTGTGTAGAGGAAAATGTCCAACCCAACAAAAAATTCATGTCGATTCTCGACGAGTTTCTAAAGAAATGCAAGAAGTTATTAAAACCAAAAGTAAGTGTATAAAACATAAATAAAATGAATTAGTTGTAGATTTTATTGTGCAACAGTTTTTTTAAAATAAATTGTGAAATAGCCCGACTCGCTAGAGGCGTATAGTGTGGCGAAGGACTTTGCGGGTCTAGAATAGGGTCTTTTTAAACGTAGCTTCTACGCAGTGTCCGCGCACAAGCTGAACGAACGAAAACCTAGAAGCCGTGCGCTCAGCGTTGAAGTTCGATCGTCGATCAATGGTACACGGTCTGCCAGCATTCTGATGGTTGTTTGACGCAAAACTTCAATGTTTTCGTTTGTTCATCTTGTGTGATGAACCCCATCCTGTCGACGTCGTGTACGCTGTTTCGGCCATCACGAAATTCCTTGAACCACAGGAACACAGTCGGATGTAATACACATTCCTCACCGTATGCCGTTTGTAACAATTGATACGTTTCCGTGTCTGTTCTACCGGCTTTAAAACAGAACTTGATTGCTGTACGCTGTTCAATTATCCAAAACTCGTTTCATGCGTAACGTTATAACTTTGTGGTAGATATGCGATGTACGAAGTTCCGGTGACCGCACATAGATAGCGCCACAATAAAATCAGTCTTGAAATTTAATAGCCGGACTGTGTAGATGGTGTAAACGGTTAAATGTGATTTTTTTTAGGAATTAACAAAATCCCAAGAGAAAGCTTTTGGAATTTTGAAAGCTAGATATAAATCATGGAATCAGGAGATCGAAATAGACGAGTCTGAAGACGTGCATCCTTGGCAACAGTACAGAGAGGAAAATGACCAAGACGTAAGAGCATACAAGTGGAAAGATGGAACTAGGTTCAAACCGAGACATACATCGTTATTTAGGAAGAAAACTTCGACGAAACACAAAAAATATAAATAGTTTTTCTTTTCCGAGCTGTGATAAAACTGTATATAAATATTTGTACCCCAGTAACGTTATATTTATTTATTTAGCAAAAAAGTAGCGGCATACGAAATAATAACATACTGCCCCCTCTACCAGACTTATGAACGGGAAGTTGTAAATGAAAAGGAACAAGAGGTAGTTACAAATAATTGTATTTTTTATTACATGTATCTTCACTTTAAATACATTCCGAGGATTATAGCTTCAACTGATGAAGCTTCCTATTTAAATCTTCGAACTTCAGTATTTTCCTAATAAAGAAATCTCCATACCGATGGGCCACTTTGGTATCGGCAATGTGAATCATGTCGTTATCGATATAAAAGTCCAACTGAAATAAACAAAAATACTGTAAGTCGCTATTTCACGTTATAAATTCTATTCAATGATTATACAGGGTCTGTTTTAATTTTCTGTTTTCCTTTTAACACTAAAAAATTCAAATTAAAAAATAGTGATTCTAAAAATCCTCACTCTTTGGGTTTCTAAGACTAGCAAGTTTTTTTTATTCCAAATTCTTCTATTTTTCGCAATTTTGAGAGCCCTGAATAAGTGGAAGTGATCAACATTGTTAATTATGTTAAATTTGCGTCAATTAATTTTGCACGTCAAATTTAATAAATAAAAAACTACAAAATGGGATGCTTAAAAATAGAAACCGCATTTGAAAAATTAGCAAAAACATTGTACAATATAATTCACATAGTTGGTATATCAATAGAAAACACCTTGTATAAAATAATGTCTCGCTAAGACTGAAGATGGTCGGAGAAACTTTGAATGTCAAATATTCTGATTCTATTACCATTTGAAAATTATTAAAAAGTTTTTACCAGATCACGATTTCCGCAAATTTTAAGGAATTTCCTAAATAAAAAAAACGCTATTGAATGTAAAACAATCAAATATGCAAAATTAAACTAATGCCAAAAATTAAAAGGTCAAAAGAAACTTTTCCGTGATTTTTGACAAACTGTTGTTATTTAGGTGAAAAATGGTCGTATCGGGAATAAAAAAGAGCATTTTGAAGCTCTTAAGATTCTAGTTTTTAGATCTTTCACTTGAAATTTTTTAGAAGCTACAGTTATTATGCAATTCTAAGAAATAGCGTGACAAAACGATTTTGCAATTTATTTTTCCCAGTCCATTTTTCAGCTTCAATTTCATTTTCTTTAAATTTCAATACGACCATTTTTCATCGAAATATCGGACTTTTAATGGAAAAGGATCCTTTTGTCTTCAATCATCGATATTTCAGTGACAAATGGTTGTACAGAGAATTGAAGGGCAGTTTTGAAAACTGGAATAAATTTCCTATAACATGCATTTTATTTCATCTTTTACACAAATTTAAAAAAATATGAAAAAAGGTACTTTATGGATTTTTAGAAAACTGATGGTTAAATTAGAAATATTCACAAAATGACTAATGTTAAGCATGACTTTTACAGTTCAATATACCCAGAAGAACCCTGTGAAGTTTCATCTCGATTTAGCGAACCGTTTCTTTGTTTCAAACAGTCGAACTTTTGAAAAAAATTAAAGGTTCAAGTTTTTTGAGCTTAAACACTTCGTAATCGTGATTAAAATGGAAAAAAACTCTTTTTTTTTAAGATTTTCACACATTTTTACCACTAATAATGTTTAAATTGATGAAAAAAAAAAATTTGAAATTTTAAGTTTTTTTTTTAATTCTTAGGAAAACTTCCCCGACATTGAAAAAAAGAAAATCCAATTGTTTCCAGCACGATTCAGCTTTTCCATCCTATGCTTCTGTTCATCAACTTTTTAAATTAATTTGTTATTTAAGGTAAAAATGTGAGAAAACCTCAAAATTTTTTTTCCCATTTTAATCATGATTATGAAGTGTTTAAGCTCAAAAAACATGATCCTTTAATTTTTTCAAAAGTTTGACTGAAACAAAGAAACGGTTTGCTAGATTGAGATAAAACTTCACAGTGTTCAGTTTTCTAAAAAAACATAAATTACCTTTTTTCCTATTTTTTAAAATTCGTATAAAAGATGAAATAAAATTTCCAAAAAGTTGCAGCAACATGTTACAGGAGATTTATTCCAGTTTTCGAAACTGCCCTTCAATTCTATGTACGACCATTTATCGCCGAGATATCGATGATTGAAGACAAAACGATCCTTTTCCATTAAAAGTCCGATATTTCGATGACAAATTTGCAAAATTTTTTTATCGCGCCATTTCTTAGAATTGCATGAAACCATAGCTCTTAAAAAATTTCGACCAAAAGATCTAAAAACTAGTATCTTGGAGCTTCAAAATGCTTTTTTTTAATTCCCGATACGACCATTTTTCACCTAAATACAGTCTGTCAACCATCACGGAAAAATTTCAGAAATTCTTTTAACCATTTAATTTTTAACATTAGTTTATTATTGAAACCAATTACTGACTATATTGCACTTCCCAAGCCTTACTTTGGAATCTGATCTGTCTTGTTCTCGGGCTAGGCTCTGTGAGTGCAGACCCACCATCACGGTGTACCTAGGGACTCTGATAACGGATCCACACCCACAGAGCCTAGCTCAAGAACAACGGCTGGTCAAGGATTCCTATCTAAGTGCAATGTAAGTCTGTAAATGACTCTCCTAACTACCGTACTTCAAATATTCATTGCTACTTACTTCAGATCCACTTTGGAACTTTCCCTCCAAGCCGGAAGCCCCTTTGAACCAAACGACGTTCTTCATCTTATGCTTGAAACACAGCAAATGTATAATGAGACTCTGCATCTCCTTGTCCAAGTCCCACTTCCCGTCGTTCACTCTGTTGTTCTGCGCCATAAAAGTGGCCAGCTTGCTCAACGGCAGGGTCGTGTACAACTTCAGATAGCTCCTGATCGTGGGTAACATCTTCTGCTGCGCCACCTCGTCCATAAAAACGGCAGTCTGATGTTGAATCGCTTCTTTAGAGTAATCGTCGGGCACGGAATCGATCGGAGGGGGATACGGGGACAAAAACTTGGGGCAAGCGTACACAAAACTGTTTTCGAACTCTTGCAGGTCTCCGTACTGCATTTTGTACATCTTTTCGTGATAACTCTTCTCTCTTAAGGTCTGCTGAATGGACTCGTCGATGCACTGTGGGTGCAGAACCAGGCAAATCGCGAGCAAGTGGTACATCTGGTCGGTCTGCTTATTAATTTGATCGTGTTGGTAAGTCTTCGAAGCAAAAAGTTGTTTGGTGCGTTGAATGTACAATAGAATCGACGAAAAAGTACGGATCGCATCCGAGTAGCGTCTCATCATCATGTAAGCAAACCCTACGTAATAGGAAGTAGAAATTTGACATGCGGGAATGTGAGCGTACTGGGACTTTTTGTGCACCTCGATATTCTCCAAAACCTTGATCGCTTGGTAGTAATCGCCCAGTAGGGAATGGAGCCGGAGCAACCCCACGAGGGAGAAATATCCCAGCATCTTGTAGAGCGAGTGGCTCCCAAATTCCCCAGACACCGATTCAGGGTCGCCACCACTAGCATAAACTTCCAACTGCTGCTTGATGTTGCTCTTATCGACGAGAGAATGCAGCACGTTCAAAACACAAAGAACGTTCCATACTTTATTGTTAGAATTCAGCGTTTCCAATTCTTGAGGTGTCTTTTTTTGGAGACGGGCCCTGTATTGGGCGAAAGACTGGAATTGGTATACAAACTCATCGATAAGCTCCCACAACCATAAATCGGGTAATTCAAGGGGTACGGGTTCTTCCGCGCTAAGGATGTAATTGAAAAGGTCGCAGTAATTATAGAAGGAATTGAAACGTTGCTCTAGCGTAGGGCCTCCTTGAATCCTTGCGTAAATATGGCGGAAGTAAAGTTCTTTGTAAAGAATCATAAACACCTGAAATTAAAAAAAAAAAGTGATTTCTAAAATTGAATTTTTGTGGTCAATAATGTCAACATATAGAATTCAGAAAAATCCAAGGAGTTATTATTATTAATTTATTGTTCTCACAAAAATGCAGAACTAAAGAAAAACTGTATTGGTTGATTTATGTACTTAAAAATTTTTCCCCGATGAATAAACTATGAATTTACTGTAATTCTACCTTGAATTCTAGATCATTAGAGCTTAAATCGATACTTAACTAATCAAATATTAAAATATATGAGGTTATCAATAAAACCCATTAAATAACGATAAACTACAAAAAGTAAAGATAACCATGAAATAAAACAGTTTTAGAATTGCGACTTAACCCGCAAGTTATCAAAAACCTACTTCGATATTTGGAGATGGAGTATTATAAAGAACAGCTTTTCAAGAAAAGTGAAGAGATAAAAGAAAAACTCAAAGAAGAGTTAAAAGACAAAGGAGATCAAGTGATAGAGAAACTCAAAGACGTATCAGTGCAGGGAACTGAAGGTAATAATAACACTTACAGGATCACTGTCCACAAGGGCAGCTACTTCACTTTCTTCAGGCCATGGTCTTTTCTCAAAATAATCTTCGGTCAATTTAGGCCAAGAGTGCTCGTATAACGCTTGCAATTCGAAAATTAAACCCTCGTTTACATTATTTCTAAAATAAATCAAGAAATTTTTCACTCCCTCGGGCATCTTTACATGTTGTCTGTTGTATTCGTCCAAGGTGGGATCACCTGTGTGTGCTCCATAGTCATCGTAGTTGTACTCATAATTCTGTAACACACAATCAAGTTAGCATTGCTAGTTTTAATTTTTAATCAATGTCAAGTTTATAATGAAATTTATACTGAATTATGGGATTAATTCCAGCAAAGCATGTAGGTATGTAGTTATGTTAATTATTTACCACTAACACATGGGAATTTTTAACAAATGTTTATAAGTTACAGTGTAACTAAACAACTAAACCAATTTTTAAACATCAAGATATTTAAATGAGACATTAGTAAAATACTGTACCTGTTCGTAATCATCAACGTAACCTTTAGACATAGTTCTTAAAACTTTAGAGAAATATGTGATTGAATAAAATTCTAACCAACAAAGTATTTGTCACAATGGCTGCTGCTGCTAGTAGTACCATAGAAAATATAGTACTATATTATCTATGGCTAGTACTGACAAAAGTAAGGTGCACAACCAAGATGGTTGACTTTCTGACTTATCGATCACATATATGAACTACGACTTACACCTTCATTCACTACGGGTTTTTCGAACAGGAGATTGTTAGTTAATTTAAGTGTAGTTCCTATGTTGAGAAGTATGGTGTAGTTCTAGTTCTCTAGTTTCACTCATTCAAATTAATCTGGGCTTCAGTCACAGAATATCAGGATATTCTGTGCTTCAGTCATCAATAATCAGTTCCGGTTTGTCATCTGGTCGGTGGTCAGCACAGTACCGTCGTTAGTGTCGTCACAATTAAAAATTGAAAGCTGAAGGTTATGGTTTTTTTTATCTCGCCAAATCAAATAAAAATTGTGTACCTATTATGTATTAAAAATTCTAGTATTTAAATGTGTTAATTACCACCATATATAATAATCTCAACTAGGTAGTTATTGTTATTTAAAAAAATTATGTTGGCGACAGGATTTAATGGTAATTATTATTTTTAAATTGTTAAGCAATTAGTAAAAATTAGTTTCACCTGACTAAAGGTTATTTGTGTCGTAGTTTTGCGAAGTTTATTAAGTGCCGAACCATTACCAAACAAAGTTGTCGAGACTAGACCAGACATCTTTACTTCAAGAGAAATACATTCCAGAGAAGATGGACTTGTGCTCTATTTACCACCTAAGAACCTACAAAAAGGTGCTAAATCTAACTACGAGATTGTATTACATAGACCAACCACTGAAACATTGCATCAAATATTCAGGTATAAACATATTTTAAATTGAACAACCGACTAATCCAAAATTGGTTTTAGTTTGTACCGGACCACAGATCTAAGTGAAGCAGAAATAAGATTTATTACTTTAAAAGATAAATTGCCAGTATTTATAGAAGTTGCTAAAGAGGTCAGTTTATATTTTTTATTGTTGTTTGTTAGAATTACATTATTCTCATTTACAGATGTGCAATATTCACGGTCTGCAGAAAATTTGCGACACTCTCTCGGAACATCCTTCGTGGTCCTTAGCTCATTTAGCCGCTTATTTTGCACTGTATGATTCATTTAATAATCCCAAAATCAATTGCTTTCTCAACAGCACAGACGTAGACACTGGGATGTCTCCATTACAGGTTGCCATTACGACCCAGAACCTAAAAACAATACAGATAATGGTTTCCGCAAACTGTTCCCTAGAGCATTTGGACTATGAAGCAAATTCTGTTTTCCACTATGCAGCTAGTACCACAAAGGAAATTATTTCGGTGAGTCGCGTAAATTATTACATACATTCTCTTGGCATTAAAATTATTGTTGGACGACATGCGTATCTTGATTAAAATTATGTTCATGTATAATATTTTGAAGATATGTATAGTTAAAATATTTTTATATATCTATAGACNTAAAGTTAAAGTATTTTTATATATCTATAGTTCATCTCATAATTATTTGAAAATATTTTATAAATATATTAAACCATTAGTAACCTTTGTAAGCAAATAATGGTAGATAATAAATAAAAAGTCCCAGACATATCACTTGAGTGATTTACCAATTTATGTAAACACTACTTCCTGTTGATATTGCTTTGTGTGTCGTAATCTATTTTTTTTTAAATATATCTGATTTTTATATCTCTACTTTATACATAAAAAACTATAAGTATTTTTCTTTGTTGATTCATTTGAAAATACACAAATACACATATAAAATAATATGTTCACGATTTGTATTTTTACTCGACATAGCTAATGTTATGCTGTCAATTTAACTCGAGTTTGGAATTTAACCTGTCTATCTGTTTAATAAATTCCACTTTCTAATTCCCCACCTTCAGGTCCTTGCCCACGGCTCACCACCCAGATGTTTAAATGCCCGCAACAAAAACGGATACACGCCCCTCCACATGTCCTGTCTTGCCGATAAACCCGAGTGTGTCAAAGCTCTCTTGTTGGCTGGAGCCGACGTGAATATAGCGGCCACGGAAGCCGAAAATGAAAATGACGTAGAACCGGGCTACGTTGGAAATTTCCTTCAAGATAATCCAAACACTTTATATCAGAAAGACATGAAGAACGGCGGCACTCCCTTACATTGGTCTTCATCGAGGCAAGTTATCGAAGCACTCATCGATGTTAATTGTCATATCAATGCTCTCAATTTCGAGGCAAAGACCGCTCTTCACGTCATGGTTGAAAGGAACAGGCGAGTAACGTTTTAAGTTATTAGACGTTAGCAGAGTTTATTTTTAATTCTGATGTGAAGTTCGTTTACGTTGCTGACCGTGCGTTATCTGGTATTGACTTTTTTCAGGCTAGAATGTGTCGTTGCCCTTTTAAGCAGGGAAGCGAATGCAGATCTAGGCGATAAGGATGGAAATAGGCCGATTCATTTAGCTGTGAAGGGTGGGAATATATCAATAATTCAAGCCCTCATTGTATTTGGTGCTAATTTAGATATTTTGAATAATGCTGGTGAAACGCCTCGACATTTAATTACCAAAGGTAATTTTTTTTAATCGTTTCTAGTCTCAGGTTGACTGTATATAGAATGTTGTTTCTTTATTTTTCTTTTTCAGAACAAGAACCGAAACTTTTATATTATCTTCACGCAGTGGGTGCCAAACGTTGTTCCTCTGATATGCAGGGTTGCACGGATGGTTGCAAATTTAATAGTACCTACGAAGGAATTCCACCACCTAAGGTAAGCCAGAAAAACGTTTAAAATTTTATATGTAATGGTTTTCATTCTGTCGATACATTTATATTGATACCGTAAATTATTTATAATTATGAGAATTGCGAAACATGTATATTTTATCTAAACTACTTGTTACCAGGATTATCAGACAGTTTTCCTTTTGTAAATATTATGAACTTTAAACTTTTTATCTTGCTTGTGTTATTTTATGCCTTGTGATAAAATTGAGTCACAGTCCAGCCAAAGGGTACACAATACATTCCGAGACTGATGCCTTGTTTATAGATATTTTTATCTGACACTTTATTACAACGCCGAACAGCACTCTAATGGCCTTGGCCTTGTATCGAGGGAGACGTGTCCTGTGATTTTTTTTGACATGAATTTTTTACCCAACTAAACGTTTTTATGCTCCCCACGGTTCACTGAACTAAATGCGGCTTTATTACCGCATTACTTCACATCTATGAAGACAAAAATGGAGGGATTGAGTTTTTGCAATAATTAAAATTAATTTATTTGTACTGAACTAATTTTCAAAAGTAGGCAATTGTTTCGGAGAAGAGATTATATGTTGATTCACTACAAGTCACTGTGGTAGTGTCATCAGCAAATAAGACAGCATGCATTACTATTTGTAGGTAAATCATTTACGTACAATAAAAAAAGTATAGGACTTACAGTGGATCCTTGAGTCGCCCCATGTTTAATATGTCTTAATTCAGATTGTCATCCATTATAGTTTTAGACTAGGCGGTATTTGTTTTGGTTTGGGTGAATCATATATCCACGGAGATTTTTTGCTTTTTGGCTTTCAAATATCACTAGAATTGTAAATTTTTCTATGCACATAAAAAAAACCCGTTGGTTTTACTTTTTGGGGGCCCATTTTTTAAAAAAATTCGAAAAATGTCATATTTTACTTCCAATTTGATTATGGATCTTTTCAAGAGTTGATTTTAGGCGAAAATGGAAGAGGAAAATATGTTTGTAATTAAATTTTTTACAAAATAGTTATAAATCGAATGGATTATGATTATTATTGGAAAAATCGAAAAAGTGGATAAAAATGGGGTTAAAAAACATTACTTTTTATGGATTTTTTTGGGGTCTTTAAATTGGGTAAATTTTCAAAATTTTGCACAGCAAAAACCAAGGCCCTTAGATACTTGAAAATTTAATCACATACAGAAGGGCTCTCAAGCTTTCAAATGTTTTTTGAAAAATTCGAATCCGTCAATTAGAGGAGCTTTGGCGCTTATTTTATTAAAGGAAGTTTAAAGATAAATAATTATCGGACTGTTCAAAGACCAATAATTATTAACAATAGGCATTTGAAAATACATTAATTGTTTTTTTTAAATTGCGAGACATGAATTTAAAAAAAAATCGGCCCTCTAGAAACTGAGATATTAAAAATTTTTCAGCGCATCGCGGTTTTGAATTCGCCGATTCAATTTTGAACAGGTCAAAGCGGCCGCACACTGCTTCCCCCTCCACCACCGCCCGTACGATTTTCTTGAATTTCTCGCTTGCATAAATAATTTTAAACACGTTTTAAAGTAAGTTGCCAATGAAGAAAAGTATTGCAACAAACTTAGACCAGGTAAGTACTCGGAATACCAAAGGTATTTTTCGAAAAATTAGCCCGGATGTCCCAGTACATTTAGTGTAAATGACGATTAATTTTGATTGGCTATGACTACGTAATTAATTGACCAATCAATCTGTTTTTTTTTTAAAGAAGCGTCTTTCCAAGAACTTTTAAAACCTATTTTAAAACATTTGAATTGGTATTTGAATTCACAAAGTTATTCTAATTTTTTATTAGTACAAAAAGTCGACCAATGTTTAAACAAACGCCAGAGCTCTCCTAATTGTCAGATTCGAATTTTTCAAAAAGCGTTTGAAAGCTTGAGAGCCCTTCTATATGTTATTAAATTTTCAAGTATCTAAGGGCTTTTGTTTTTGCTGTGCAAAATTTTGAAAATTTGCAAATTTTTTTTCAAAATTTAGATTGCAAAATCTATCAAACCGATTTTGATGAAATTTGGTGTGATGATTCTACATAACATGAAGTTTTCTTGAGCCAAGTATGAAGGTCCTATACCCGATTTAAAGACCCCAAAAAAATTCCCTTAAAGTAATGTTTTTTAACCCCATTTTTGGCGATATTTTGGCGATCATGATTCATTCGATTGGTAACTAGTCATATTTTGTAAAATATTTAATTACAAATATTTTTTCGGCTTCCATTTCTGCCTAAAATCAACTCTTGAAAAGATATATAATGAAATAAGAAGAAAAATATGACATTTTTCGAATTTTTTTAACATATTGTGCCGCCAAAAGTTAAGCCTACGTTTTTTTTATGCGCATAGAATAATTTTCCTTTCCAGTGATATTTGAAAGCCAAAATGCCAAAAATCTCCTTGGATATACGATTCACCCAAATATGGATTTTTTATTAATTTTTGTTAATGGCTGGTGCTTTTAGGTTATCGGACCAACTAATCGCGACATCCTCAATTTGATGCTGTCCGTAGCGGCCATGGAAGTGGCGTCGGATAAGCACAAAAACAAATTTCCGAACAAGGGCAGGCTGTTGAGTTTAGACGGCGGAGGCATCAGAGGATTGATTCTGGTACAGATGCTCTTAGAATTAGAAAAAGTCTTGGGAAAGTCCATCAACAGTTGCTTCGATTGGTTAGCGGGAACCAGCACCGGAGGCATCTTAGCTTTAGGTGTTTATAGTGTTTGATTTTCGATATGCACGTGGATACAAATTTTTTTTCCTTAGGTATCGCTTCGGGAAAGACAATGAAGGAATGCCTTTGCCTGTACTTTCGCTTGAAAGAGATTACTTTCATTGGAAATAGGCCGTATTCCAGTGAAGCACTCGAGAACATACTGAAGGAAACTTTCGGAGTGGATACCGTGATGTCGGACATTAAATACCCCCGATTGATGGTAACGGGGGTCTTAGCAGATAGGAAACCAGTCGAATTACATTTATTTAGAAATTACACCAGTCCTAACGATATACTGGAAGTGAAACACGACTCTCCTTACGAATTACCTCCGGCTCCCGAGGAACAGCATGTATGGCAGGTCGGGAGGGCCACCGGAGCCGCTCCGACGTATTTCAGGTAAAAAATCGTAGTCGAATTTTAAAAAATTATAAAAAGTACATATATAGGGTGTTGGAAGTTTGACGGTTATTTTTTTTAAAATTGTGTATTCAAATTTTATCACTTGGCGATTATCGCAATTGTTTTCATAGTAATCGTAACTCATGTTTTAATAAAATAATTTAGATTCAAATGATAAATTGAATGTCCATGTCCATTATCATTTTCAATCCATGCGCAGGATTTTTTCTTATTTGTGGGCAATTGCAAAAATCCGTTCTGGCAAGTATTCTTCTGCTTCAACTTCGGTTTCATATACCAACTTCTTCATGTGTCCTCATAAGTTTAAATCTAATGGATATAGATCTGGTGTATGAGCTGGCCAACACTGTCGGCCTTTTCTACCCATCCAAATGGTTTCTTGAAAAATTATTTAAATATCAGATTGTACTTTGACTTCGTACAAAAACCACATATTTGCTCTTACGTTGGAATCTGTCAGGCAAGATTAAAGATCCTATTAGATTGTCTTCTATGATCCCCTCTAAATCGATCGAAAAATGACTGTGGAAATTTGATTTCTGTATTTTTGAATTTTCTGTAGCTCGGTCATGAGTATTATGAAAAGAATGCCACTTCTAGTAACGTACTCCTCACCCTTAGCTAAAAATATTCAAAAAAACTGGATGTTGTCATTTTTCTTAAAACCGTCTACAAAAATTTGCTCGAGGGGCGAAATCTACAACTAATATTTCTCGAATCTGCTGTAGATGATATCGATATAACTGTTCTTGTAACAATGTCTAAAATATGACCTTTTGTATTGACATCCACCTATCCGTTTGGGCCATGACTTTCAGTGCAAGAGACAACACCACCAGTATCAAGGAGCCATTGAAACAATTCCATAAGTGTTTTTTTATTGGGCAGTTGCCTTTGAGGATGCGGTGGTGATAAATATGTTGTACCTACTCTAGCAGAAAATTTAAAAAAGCAAACGAAACAGTAGTAGACAAAATCATACCCAACAAGTGACAAGCATGAACGTCAAAGACCAACTGATCGTTGCTATCTTTCCATCGCACTTTTGTTGTATTTTAACTTTTTTTGTTAAAACTGACAAGTAAGTGATGCACTTTTTAGGGCCTTTGGTCGATTCCTCGACGGCGGCTTGATAGCCAACAATCCAACCTTGGACGCACTTACGGAGATCCATGAGCATTGCTTGGCCCTCAAAGCGAAGGGGAAAGAAAACGAATCTTGCCCCGTGTCTGTAGTGATCAGTCTCGGGACGGGACTGATTCCGGTGACGCAAATAAAGGAAATCGATGTTTTTAGGCCGGAAAGCATCTGGGACAGCGCCAAGTTGGTCATAGGGATATCTGCTCTCGGCACACTCCTCGTAGACCAGGTAATAGAATACATTTTTTTACCGTGGTATTTTTATCGCGAAAAATAATTAACGGATGGATTGTCAGAATGAATCGGAATATTTTAATCTACATAAAAATTCGTTTACGTAGAATTTGCGGTACTCTTCTACGACAAAATCGCAGCGACATCACTCGGGCCCACTGTTCTTTTAAAATCTTTCTAATTGATATTCGTTAGTGCTCTTCCATTGTAATTTTTTTGTTATTTGTGGACATTTTGTGGGGCAGTGTAATTTTTACTGATCTAACGATGAAAATTCCAACTTATTTTAATTATTTTATGTTGCATTTTATTGTTCCGTTTCCTTTCTTCCTTCACATGTAATGCAGAATGTGTGAAAAATCATGTGATGGAGGAAGCAGCTGTCCGCAGTAAATAAAATTGGCCTTAATATTATTTTCAAGGCGACGTCGAGCGACGGCAGGGTGGTCGATAGAGCCAGAGCCTGGTGTTCTATGATTGGCGTGCCCTATTTCCGTTTCAACCCGCAGTTGTCAGAGGACATCGCGATGGACGAGAAATCTGACGAGAAATTGTGCGGCATGTTGTGGGAGGCTAAAGTTTACATGCACGCACATATAAACGTCATGAAAGAAATATCCGATATATTAAATAGAGGCTAGAAATCTCCACACCCTTTCATTAAGGCTGTAATTGATGTGAATTGTGAAATGTATACCAGTTTTTATTTATTTTTATTTAATTTAATAGTCTATTGGTTTATTTCTAAATTAGTCATACTCTTAATATTTTATGTTTTTTTTTTTAATAGATCTATTTACTGTTATTATTGTATATGAAAGTAAATGTACGTGTTATATGTTTGCTTTAATTTTCCCCAATATCAGTCAAAATTATGAATTTTTAACGTACGAGGGTGATTCAAATATAAACGAGAATGTCAAGGCGGACATCTTGAAAGGGCACCGATTGGCTCACGTATGGACAGGGAATGTTGGTAGGGATAGGTCGAGTGGGGGATCGCAGTCGACACAACCCTAAGACCGTTAGCCAAGTAATGGCAAAGATGAACGAGAAGGAAGTTCACCCGTCTGTTGCGCAACGGATCATAAAATTCTTGACGCTGGAGGGTGAGTGCTTAAATTTTAATTTTTTATTTATTTCTATTAATTATTTCAAAGAGTTTTAAAGATGTTGACTCGAAATTTGATGGTTGTAATTTATTTAGAAATATTGACGGCAACCTACAAGATAATGTATGAATAGAAATTAAAAATGCAGGACTTGCAATAAAATGTTTTAGTTTTTCCTCAAAAACGGCGCATCCGATGAAAGAAATCAAAATTGAAAATGGGAAAAGTCAGTGGCGTACCAATTTTTTTTTATTAAAAAGGTTGCATTCTCGTACGAACGTCACTGGTGCAAGTAGAAATATTTGGATCACCCGAAAAATGTACATTTATCCCTCCAAAGCATTTTTCAAAGATTGACCGCAAAAATCACCCAGTTTTTCGCAATTCACAGAGAACTGAGGAAAATAAATAAGAATGTTTTTGGTCTCAAATTACTCGTAAAAAATTGAGATGAGCATAGCTTTTAGTTTTTTGAAAATTTTCAAAAATTACCCCTATTTAAGGGTTGAAAAGACGCGCAAAATGAAGAATCGAATATTACCAATAAATATAAAACTATTAGCATGTAAATTTTTCTATCGAATGATTCTTGATACAAAGAAAGATTTATTCTCATGACTAAAATAAGCATGTTGAATTAGAAAATCAACCCTTAAGCGCGTTCAAGGGGTGGAATCATCCCCAAAAATAGAGAATATCAGAAATAATTGTAATAATTCAAATAATAAATAAATAGATAATTTACATGCTAATAGTTTTTATATCAATTATTATTATTAAAATTCTTCATTTTTGGCTTTTTTCAACCCCTAAGTAGGGGTGATTTTTTAAATTTTCAAAATACTAAAAGCTATGCTCATTTCAGTTTGTAATTTGTGACCAAAAACAAATTTTTATGTATTTTTTTTTAATTCTCTGCGAATTGTGAAAAAACGGGCGAAAATCGCAGCATTTTTGTGGTCACTCTTTCGAGTCGATATCTTTAAAATTGAAATAATTAATAAAAATACATAAATAATTAAAATTTAAACGCTGTATCTTGGAAACGACCTCGATACGACGACGACGATATTTCGACCTACACTTAAATGAACTTTTTTCCACAAGATAACTTCGGCAACCACCCCCTAAAATATTTCGCACTTATTTACCAACACCCTGTATATTTTATAAAAAAAAATACCTTTGGATGAAAGTCGTTTACGAAATCAAATGACCTTATGTTACTTTCTGAAAAAAGGGATTGTCAGACGAATAATTTTGAAAAATAAATTGAAGATGGCGAAAATAACAATTTTACTATTGTGATACAACGGTTGGTTTTTTAATANAAATCAAGTGACCTTATGTTACTTTCTGAAAAAAAGGGATTGTCAGACGAATAATTTTGAAAAATAAATTGAAGATGGAGAAAATAACAATTTTACCATTGTGATACAATGGTTGTTTTTTTAATAGACTTAGATTTCACCTAGAACTAAAGAAGAAATTGATTAAAATAGAATTAATTTACTTTATAAATTAATATATTAAGAAAAAATTAATTAATATATTAATTATTATTTAATATATTAAAAAAAGTGTAAATTCAGTAAATGGGTGCATAAAAACATCTATTTTATCGGGGAAAGGGTGCAATTTGCAACTGATATACAGCAACATAAACTCGGTAAAGTTTATGTGGGGAAAAAATCCATTTTGTTTTCTTTATAACCAATTAATAATAATTTATGATTTATTTTACAATAGGTACCTATTTAAAATATTTTTATATTAAGATGAGTGATAAAGAATATTCATGTTTAAAATTGGTACAATGTTACATTTTTAAAGTAAGAACTATTTTTTTAACCCTTTTTATAGATAGCTTTTTATGAGCTGCTTATTTTTTGCTGGTCTTTGCTAGAGTAGATAAGTTTAAATTTCTAGAATATGATAGGCATTTTTAATGTGGGTGTGTTGTTGTGAAGACAAGCAGGTAATAAATTTATTTAAACAAAATGTAAATTGTGAATTTTGAAACATGTTTTCATACTGCAGCACAATTTCTTTTCTACTTACTAATTTGTATAAATTTGATTTGGTTCCAACAATAAAAAATCTTAGAATTATTCAAAATGGTTTCTCAAACCACATTTGAATTTGAATAGATGTTTTAACAGCTGCAACACATGTGTAGTACTGAATCTTAATTATGTAATATTTATCTATTTAAATGTTTTACGAAAAATATACTGCAACTGTCGGTCAACTTATTCCAGTAATCTACCAATACGCATTTTCCTTTAAATATAATTAGTGGAGTAAAAAAAATATGCATTATTTCGTAATAATTAGCAGAGCCTTGGATTTTCATAAAACCTTTTGTAATCACCTTGAAATGGCTTATAGAAAAAAATTATAAACTTATATTTGTACGCTAATTATTATTTAATTGTTTAAACAATAAAAAAACGATTTTTCGAAGATTATTTTAAATATATCAAATTTCAAACCAATTTTAATCAAATTGATACTATAGGGGTTATCGAGGTCACTGAATAAGAATATAATGTTAAAAAATAAAAATTCAAAATGGCTAATCCAATATGACCGACTTTTTTCGAATGATTTATTAAATAATGACAATTTTCAAAGCAATTTTAATCAAATTGATATTTTTTAGGGGTTTTCAAAGTCGCTGAACAAGAATATTATAAGAATATTATATCAGAAAATAAAAATTCAAAATGGCTGATCCATTATGGCCGACTTTTTAAAAAAATTATTTAAACATTACATTTTCAAAGCAATTTTACTCATAGTATGAGAGTATAATAAAACAACACACCAAATTTCATTAAAATCGGTTCGATAGTTTTAAGCGAAATAATATTTTGAAAAAAAAATTTCGAATTTTCAAAATGTTGCACAGCGTCAAATAAAGCATCTAGATACTTGAAAATTTTCTCACATAGATCACTCAAAAATGGTTTTTGAAAAATTGAAATCGGTTGATTAGGACGGCCACAGTAAATTTTTAAAGTTAACACACTTTTTTTTATTTTTAAACAATTAGATTACATTTATCAATTTGCAATATAGTTGTTCCCAAAAATTATAATTTTAAAGTACTATTTTTTCTTAATATTATTTGTATTTAACAAAAAAATTAATTTCCAAATATTTTTTTTTAATTAAATAATTGTAATAATTATAACTAAATACATTCATATTCAGAGTGTTGAAATATATACGTAAACAAATTTTTTCATTGAAAAAATGCAACAACATAGTATAGAGTAAAATATATTGTATATTTAATGCATAAATAATAAACTTTGTTTATAACAAAATATGTGCAAATTAGACAGTTGGCATTACGATATTCGAATTCCTTGGCTCACGAGACATCAGATAAAAAAAAAGATCGTCGAAATTGGTCAAATGCAATATTTTTCGTACCTTCGCATTTTGAACCTCCGAATTCAGTCTCGGAGCAAAAGCCCCCTCTCCCACTTTTCCTGTTTTGAGTCACTTTTCGCGCCTACAGGCGACAGCTTTTTCGCTGATTTATCTATGTTGCCGATAACTTATGGATATGAAAATGTTTTCTAGCTTAGAACTCGGAGAAAAAAATGAAAAAGATTATTGCTAAATTATTTATAAATTAACGGTAAATTCGATAAACTTTGACCGCTTCTATCTCGAGAACCAATAAACGGAATTTAACTTTTTTTTTCTAAAACGAAGCGCCTTTCCGAGTACTAAAAAAAAACTAAATTGCAAATTGATAAATGTAATCTAATGGTTTAAAAATAAAAAAAGGAGTGTTGACTTTAAAAATTTACTGTGGCCGTCCTAATCAACCGATTTCAATTTTTCAAAAACCATTTGAAAGGTTGAGCGGTCTCTTCTATGTGAAAACATTTTCAAGTATCTAAATGCATTATTTGAGGCCGTGCAAGATTTTGAAAATTTGAAAATTTTTTTTCAAATTTTTTTTCAAAAAATTATTTTGCGAAAACTGTAGAACCGATTTTAATGAAATTTGGTGTGTTGATTTATTATACTCTAAAGTTTTTTTTACTAAAATTAGAATGCCCTCGGAGCAATTAAAGTATTTTAAAAAAATTATCCAAACAACTTGTTTATTTTGCCTTTTTTCATCAATTATTGCTATTTTGCAACATCGGTAATAAATTTAAACATTTGTAACTTACAGTATATTGTGCAAAATTCAATTCTAAAACTTTTTTCCTCTTCGATATTTTTAGGATTTTTCAGATCATTGAATAAATATAAAATGAAATCAACTCGTTAAGTTTTAAAGAAACTTGGGTATGATGTTTAAGGTTCTGCAAAAATTGGGATTCTTAATTAACGAATTTATTAAATAAGAAAAAGTATTTGCATATTAAAAATAGAAATATAAAAAAATAATATTCAATTTTCATTCTCATGAATCATTGTAAGTTCTGGAAATTGGTCCGATTCTCGTTCTTCTTCGAAAAAAAATTTGTTTTCGTTTATTATATTTTTGTAAGATCATAGTTTGAAAATATATTAGTTAAACAAGCAAAAACATTTTTTTTTAACTTTATTAAAGTTTATTTAACAACAAATTTCATGGTTTTAGAAGAAAAAATTTTTTGTTTTGGTTTTCTTTAAATTTTATTATCAATTCAATGTTTTAAATAAACGGAGCATCTTAAAGTACAGTTTTCAAGCTTCAAAAAATGCTCCTGCAAAGTTGCAATATCATATTTTGAACTAAAGTTATTGGACTTTGAAACGTGACGTACAAAATCAAATTTACCTTTTTTTTTAAATTATTGAATATTTTCAAGCGTATTTTTCGAATTAAAATTTTAAGATTTTTTTTTATATCACTCACTATTTTAAATTCTATTTCACGAGTAATCTCTGAAAGTTTTAGATTTTTGCCTTAAAAATTAAAAAAATGGCAAATCTTTAATTAATTTTGTAGAAAATTCTACCGTTACGTAACTTTATTTACACACTATTCCTGTAAATATTTTTTTCAATTTTAAAATCATGATAACTTGTTAAGATTCCACTTTCATTTAAATTTTTTGGACTTAATCTCATCAAATAGATCAAAATTAATTAATCTCATCAAAAATTAAAAATTCATTGTTTCGAATCAAATGTGATTGTGTTTGACTGTTGAAAACTGTGTTTGTATTACGATCAAAGCCATTGTTTAGCTTGATGAAAATCTTTTTAAAACTGCTGGTCGATTCGCTGTACGATCATTTTAGTACTTGAGATATCGATGGTCAAAGACAAAAGGCGACTTTTCATTCAGCGTTCAGTTAAAAAAAAAAACAAAGATAAATGATCAGGCTTAACGACCTTCATTTAATAAGAAAAAATTTTTTTAGACCCAAACATAACTAGAAAAAATTTCAAAGATTTTGTGTCTCGTGATATTTCCTTTGATTGTGGTATAAGTTTCACCCATAAAATATTTTTCGTCAGAATATATCAAATCTAATGCCTTCAAATTTCAAAATGCTTTTTTTTAATCTTGACACGATCATTTTTCCCAAAGTTACAGCCTTTCAAAAATAGAAACAAAAATTTTTTATTTTGCTCGCTTAATTTTTTGGACGAATATAGTTTCAGTTAAGCTAACCAGATAATACGCTATTAAAATGTCTTTAGATTTCTTCACTTATTTTTAACTATTCAGTGTTGTGGATGAACAAATTGAGGAAGCGACTACTTCAGTTACGAGCAGCTCAAGTCATTCTTGAAATACTTTACCGGACAATACGGTCCCAGGTAAAATTTAATTCAATACATCCATTGCTTGAAGTAATGTATTAATTTCTAGAAATAACTGCTGTTATAAGTCACGTTATTAAGTCTATCTCAGAATCTGAAATGGAAACGAGGTCTAGCAAGAAGAAGTCTAGCAAGAACCCTGAAGTCAGCAGCGAGAAAGGTATTATTTTCAAATTTGAGAGTTCGCGCCTTTAAAATAATGACAGTCATTGAAATCGCTATAAATACAGGGTCGTCCCGAGGTAATGGGCCAAAATTCATGGGTAGATTCCCCACGCAAAAATATTGCGATTTAGCCGAACTTACCTTAGTCCAAATGTTGATAGTTGACAGGGTGTTAAATGTAAAATATTATTTCCGGTTTTTTTCATTTATTCCTTAACAAATGCAAATATCCTCACAAAATTTTGGGGTTTGGGGTTCTTTGGGTAGAGGAATTGAAATTTGCTCACATTTTGGTTATTGTTCGTAGAGGGCGCCAGCTGCCGTAGATTGAATGTGTTGAAAACGACATAACTTTTTTGTACTTTCAGATATCTCATCTTTGGTATCAAATTGTTATTTTCCAACTTTTTTTACACAAAAAAGGTATACTTTATGCAAGTAGCTGTCTCGCACCGTTTCCGAGAATTTTGTGTAGATATTTGCATTTTTTAAGAAATAAATGGAAATAAACTAAAATCATATTTAACATTTAACACCCTGTATCTCTTTAACTATCAACTTTTGGACTAAGGTAAGTTCGGCTAAATCGCAATATTTTTGCTTCGGGAATCTACCCATGAACATTGGCCCATTACCTTGGGACCACCCTGTATATCACTGTGCTACCAAGCCAATGTCTCATTTAGTTAAAATAAACATCTTCAGGGCATATGGTTACGTGTTAATAAGGAATTTTTAGTGCTAGAAGTATAAACCCAAATTGCACAGCTTTTTAAATTTTAATTTTGATACTATCGCATTTTTCAAACTCTTAAGAAAATTTTAAATGTGAAAAATAAGAAAACGCTATTTTGACCTATTGATTGCGATAAAAAAAATAGGATCGATACCACTATCGTCTTACACCAGAGACTTTAACTAAGGGAGCCTGTCTTGGTTTTGCCTCCAGGTGGTACAGACTCTGATGCCCCTCCTACCGAGACGACCAGGTCCGTTATCCGACCCACGTCTTCAAAGGACAATACGATTCCTGTAATCAATGCTTTACCTGGGTAAGAATAACTTTATTTGATACTGACATTGTAAGTTTCTGCGACGTCACGATTCCTTTGTAGACACTCGAAAGATCCAGATTATGTCACAATTGATTCGAGTGTTGCGGGATCAAACACTGGCGTGGATATGAGTGGGCTGGATGATCAGCTAGTATTTAAAGTAATAGAACTATTCCCCGATGCGCAGCCGCAGTATATCATAAATATTTGTGGTGGAAAGAAGTGGGATGATCTTGATAACGTCACCACTGTTATTCTTTCAGGTATGTAATTTTAATGGCTATTCGTGATTCTTTCACGATAAAGTAACGTTTGATAATAGATTAATTTAATATAACTTATTAAAAAAAAAAATCAATATATCAGCGTCAATGATTTTTTGAACTTTCGATTATTAAATCCCATAATTTGTGTTTGTAACACAAATAGTTATAAAGTTATTCTCGATTTATTCATTTTAAAATTCCATTAGAAATTAAAAGCACTTACTCAAATTCCAAATTATTCTGTGGCAACGAAGTTCTGAGTGGTACCTACTCTCCATATTTTCGCAACTGGTTGATGTATTTCTGAGTGAATGTAGCAAATATTCATTTCTAATTTGATAAATCAAGGGCCCAAATATTAACAGTACACACCAAGCGTACGCGGAGATGTTCGGAAAAATGTGATGTTCTTTAATTTCCAAAACCTTATATATCGAAACCTACGCAGATCCACGATTATATAAAAGTTTTATTCGGTATTTTTCAAATATTTCAAAAACTAATCATGTAAGCCTTGATTTTTTATAGTCATGATGTTAGTCCCCTGATTACACAACTTTACCCCCATTAAAGCTACTTCGTACCTCTTATTGTTTCTGAGATCATTGTAGTGAGAAGCGAATTTGTAACAGCCTGTATATTAACGAAGAAATAAGTGACATGCGTGGCATTTTTTTTTAGATTTTGGTTAATTTTTGCCAACACGATAACCAACAGAAAAAAATGCAACCATTTCTGGGATTCTGGGACTCCCTATATAATATGTATTTTTGTAGCCATCTTTGTGGCTCTTTTTGCCATCTTGAATTTATGAATTCTCGGAAATTATTTTTTTTTGTGGCTTTGGTGTTTCAGATCCCGATTACCCGAAAAGGCCAAAATATAAACCAAGTGTGCCTAATGAAATCGATACGGAAGACCAATTCCAAATAGTTAAGGCGCTTCTGCCCGATGCAGATCCTAACTATATCAGAATGCAATGTGAACGGTATGCCGATGACAGCGATGGTTTAAAGGAATTTGTCAATCGTGATCGAGAAACGAAAAATTATCCCACTTTAAAGGAGAATAGGAGGTAAACGCTCGAATGGTTATTAAGTTATAATTAACTCTTATTTGATTATTCCATGATAAAATTAATATGGAAATAAATTTCAAGAGTTCTCTTTGACTGGGTGTTAAATCTTTCTTGTTTGTGTAATTTTCAGAAAACAGCAACTTTCTGCCCAACAAAGGGATTACACAACACGATTTAATGTGGAAAATTTTATAAATCTCTTCCCCGAACCAGAAAAAATCTTTGAAGATCCCGACAGGAGCATTAAGTTGGACTCGCGCTCAATGAATTATGCTAGCGCATTTTTTAGAAATAGGTACAATAATATGTCGGTAAAGACGATTCAAAAGGTACTGACCGAGAATAACTTTAAGTCTTTAATCTGTGACAAAGTCTTGAGCAGTTACGTTGAGCAGAATGCCACTATGAAAACTAAAAGAAAGCCTGTTCGGTTACCTACAAATTGTGATAACATCCCGTTGTTGCAAGAGGTAAGACGTTTAATTCGACAGTTCCAGTCTCCTTTAATGATACTGTACAATTTCTTAGCTTGCCTACATTACTCACCGAGATGAGATCGTGGAGCACCTCCGGCAAAAACAGGCGAGGGATAAAGAGGAGCGGAGGAAAACAATAGCAGACAACAACATGCAAACCTGCTCTTGCTGCTGCGACGATGAAGTCATGCCGAAAGACATCTTCCGCTGTCCAAATGGTTGTGGGTTTTGCCGAGAATGTATTATAAGAAGCTGTGAAGTCACCTTTGGAGAAGGCAAAACAGACTTTCTATGCTTGGCTGCTTGTCCAACCGAGTTTTCGGTGCAGACATTGCAGGTGAGTATTTTGCAAATGTTTGAAGCTCTAGTATCAATTTGCGTTATCTTAGACTCTTCCTAGCACATTTAAGCATAATTAAAATTAAGTTAAGAATTCTTTTTATTATGCCTCTGTAATAGGAATTGCCCCGAGTGTTAATGAATTTTTTTAAAAAAGGCTGGGAAAGTTAACGGATTTTTTTGGTAACCAATTTGTTGCAGTCGTGAAGGTTCGGCCTGGACTCTTTCGAACAGCGAACACTCCCAACTTTTTTAATAAATTTTATGCGCGTGAGCTAAATAGTTAAATCGTTTGTCAGTTCTCTCACTTATGAGTGGTTCTGCTGACAAATAATATTAGATGTGATGGGTGTGATTTAATGCTGGACGGGACTATAGTCATGCTTTCGTAGTACATACATACAAATTAATAGTAGTCCAACCAAATTACACTTGAAGAAAAAAAAATTGTTACCTAGACTTTTATAAGTGGAAATGGTAAAAAGGCTTATAATAAACCTAAAAAAAATAAATGCGTGAGCAGGGGCGGCGGAGGGTTGATTTGGAGGGTTGAAAAGTTATGAAAAATTGTATCATTGGGATTTCTGACGTCAAACAAAAAAGTATCCAATACAAAAGTTGTAGACCATGCAAAAATCTACAACTTTTGTACAGGTCACTTTTTAAGATAACCTCAAAATTACCGAGAAATATGCGAAAAACTGTTTTTCTTCTAATTTTTCGTTTTTTATTTCTCATTTCCGCAAAAATAATTTAATTTTAATGAAACTTGGTGAAAGTATACTTTTCTGTGTATTAAATAACCACAATTTTTTTTAGATAAAAAAAATCAAGTAGTTTCCGAGATATTCATTTTTTTCGACCTGAAACACTTTTTTTCAAATTCTACTTAGAAAAATCATCGTACAGAGTTCTGCCGGTAATAATTTTTTTGCTCAAAAATGCCAAAAAAAAATTAAAATGACGTGCAACAATAAATTTTTCAGTAATTTTTGATAATTTATTTAAATTAAAAAACATTCAAAAACTGATTACACCATTCAATTCTACGAAAGAAAAAAACAAAAAAAAACTGTCATTGTTTGATCCAAAACTTTATTTTCGTACAGTATTGTTATAAACATCTAAGTCGAATTACAAATGCACAAATGATAAATTATCTTTGGACGATTTGAGATTTCAGCAATACAAAGTATTAACTGCAAAGTCTACTGTTGACGCGAAATCCGAAAACGAAATTTTGCAAAATCGTTTTATTTTTTTCTGGCTTTAGTTGAAAACGAATTTTAAAATTTATCATTTCAAATTTTTCCTTAGTACGGCTCTGAACGCTTTCAAAATATCTATTGGAGGAAGTCATAACAGTATAAAAGTCAATACAGCACAAAATATCCAATTTTTTTTAATCAATAATTTAAAAAGTTGTACCTAATAAAAAAATAATACAAATTTATGAAATATTTTATTATTTCTAATTAATATTTGTAATAGTAGTAAAAAAAATTATTAGATATTTTGTGCGGTATTGACTTTTATACTGTTATGACTTCTTCCAATAGATATTTTGAAAGCATTCCAGAGCCGTACTCAGGAAACAAAGACGAAACGTCAGATTGCAAATATGTTGACGCCATTGTGTAGAGCGAAAAAAGTGGTATTGTAAATATGTAATTTATTTTCAAATAAATCCGAAAAAATTGAACCAATTTCACAAAATTTCGGGTTTTTCCGGAACTACCCGTTTCCTAGGTCCTAATGCTATCCCATCCTTATCTTGGACACACTGTATATCTATGAATTCATCAAAATTTTAAAAAATAAGCACTACTCGATCCTATAGAAAAAAGTTATTTATTTTATTTATTCACTATTCGACTTATTTTTATAGCAATACTGTACAAAAAAAGTTTTGGGTCAAACAATAACAGTTTTTTTTTTGTACTTTTTCGGTACAATTGAATGGTGTAAACAGTATTTGATTTTTTTTTAATTTAAACAAATTATCAACAATTACTGAAAAATTCAATGTTGCAAGTCATTTTTTAATTTTTTGCATTTTTGAGCATGTTTTGAACTGTGATTACAGATTTTTTTTATTTCACCAAAAAGTATATGTAAAAACGAGAAAAATGATCATGGGCAGAACTCTGTACAATGATTTTTCTAAGTAGAATTTTTCTTTGAAGAAAGTTTTTCAGACCGAAAAAAATTAATATCTCGGAAACGTCTTGATTTGTTTATCTAAAAAAATTTGTTATAAGCCTATTTACTATTTCCACATATAAAAGTCCAGGTAACAACTTTCTTTTTTTTTCCCTCTAAATGAGTTATTTCCATCGGTGCTCTCTGTTAATAGAAACAAAGCGGTGCTTTATCTGTGAATGGTCACTGCTACTCGACACCTGGACCTTTAAATGGCTAAACTGGCAGAGATTAGTCTGCAATTTTTCAAATATTATGAAAGCAGGACCTGTGTTGACACTAGACTAGATTAAACAAATCAAGCACGGACATTTTTAATTTTGTTAAACTACTAATTCTCTTTATGTATTCCATCAGAGTGTTCTGCCACCGAAAATGTTTTCGAAGTGGGCCCAGAAGAAGGCGGTGGCAGAGATCAAGGCCGCTGGTATAGAAGAACTAGAATCGTGCCCCTTCTGTGACTTTGCTTACATCCCCAACGAATCGGACAAAATTTTCCGATGCCTTAATCCGGACTGCATGAAGGAGTCCTGTCGGAAGTGCAAGGAACCCAACCACCTTCCCCTTAAGTGCGAAGAGGTGGAGAAAGATGAAAATGTTAAGGCGAGGACTTACATAGAAAACAAAATGACGGAAGCTTTGTTAAGGTAAATCTGGAAACTGATATTTATAAACTTCGATAAAGCTTCACTTCTTTATTTTTTTGTACACTTAATACGTTCAATTTTATCCAATCGTTTATTCAATAAAAAAAATATATATATTTTTTTTTAATTCAAAACAAAATAAAGCACATTTAGTGTGCGTTTATAACAAGCATCAAGCAAATGTTATTGAAGAAACATGTAAACGTAAAAATTTTAAAGCAACATGCGACATACACACTTGGGAGCTATGGCACGCATTGTCAAACCCCATAAATTAAAAGAATGGCAATAAGATATCGCACAGAAATGAAAATATATAAATTAAACAAGTAATTATTGTTTTAGAAAATGCTGGCACTGTGGAATCAACTTCATCAAAGATGAGGGATGTAACAAGATGACGTGCCCATGTGGGGCCAGCATGTGCTATCTCTGCCGAGAGCCCGTGACGGATTACTCCCATTTCAAATGGATGAGCAACGACAAGTACGAACTGTAAGCTGTTACATGTTGTTTAAAGTTTGTGTATGATAACAGTTCGCTTATAGGTGCCCGTTGTTCAGCGAGGACAAGAAGACAAACAGTCGAATATTGAAGAGGCTGCAGTAGCCGCCAAGGCCGAAATAGATGTGTCGAAACTAAAAATGGACCCGACTGTGCGCATGATGATCACAGGGACAGGGCCAAGAAGGTGCCCGAGGAATAACAAATTAGAGAACCGATCCAACAAGTGAGTTTAATTTACTTTTATTAATTTATTTATGTAACCGGTGACAAATGATCTCGATCTCGAACGAGCACGAAAGAGGTGAAAGGAATTTTAAGAGTACATTTTATTTATTCAATTTATTTACAATTCCATAGGTTGCTTACCCCGTTCAGGAAGAACGGAATTGGTAAAACTTTTACTATTAATTTTACAATGAACAACAAATATTTTTTCTCGAAATTTCGTACAAATTACATTGATAAAACGTAACTCGGATCATATGTGATTTAATACTTTTTTAAGCTCCAAACCCAAGTTAAATTGGTCAGTAAATACCCTTTTTTAGTTTTTAGTTTTTAGTAAAGTTACATATCCATAATGTGTGCTTATGGTGTTTAGGGGGTGAAAACTACCCCTTCTTGCAGAAAACGTAAAAACCATAGATTTAAGTATTATGTCAATAGAATAAGCATTCTTTTATGTTTTGAATAATAATTTTGGATTTGTAGCAACATTCAAACTCTTAAAATCCACCCTTTATGAGGAAAAAAAACAAAAATTAGTTTTCGCGGCTGAAATGTTTTGACAGGGCAATAATGAATGAATGAATGAAGGGTTTCAACCCTTAAAAACAACCCTTAATGAGGAATTGAAGAATTTTTACTTGCTTCAAAACACTCAACGATAAATCAACTAAATTCAACGAGATTACTTAAAACTCGAAACATAAATTATGTAATTAGTGAAAGGGAAAATAAAAAATATTTGCGTATTATACAGGGTGTTAAAAAAAGAGTGTAAAATATTTCAGGAGGTAATAGTATGAACCAAAATAAGCAGAGAAGTCTTAATAAACATGGGTCCGCAAAGTAACGGTTGCGGAGATATGGACCACTATTCGTTTTTCAAATATTTTATTTTATTAGAAATAAACCGACAAAGGAAGCTTTTAACAAACAAAAAACAAAGTTACAGAAGATGTTCAAAGTGCCCTCCGNTATTTTAATTCAAAACAAAGCTGTTACATGTCCTTTAAAGTTTGTGTATGATAACAGTTCGCTTATAGGTGCTCGTTGTTCAGCGACGACAAGATAAACAGTCAGAATGTTGAGGAGGCGGCGGTGGCCGCCAAGGCCGAAATAAATGTGTCAAAACTAAAAGTGGACCCGACTGTGGGCATGACTGATAACAGGGACAAGGCCAAAAAGGTGCCCGAGGAACGACAAATGGAGGTACCCCGCCCGGTTAGAGAACCGATCCAACACGTGAGTTTAATTTATTTTTATTAATTTATTTACGTAACCGTTTTTTTTTTCATTATTTCAATTTTTTTTTAAATTTAGGCAATCTAAACCGGTCAAACTTGCAGACCTATTGTTAGTACCTGAATAAAGTCAACCGTACTGTACATGGATTACGCTTAGTTTCTATTTTTATGGTTCAGCCATAATTTTATTATTGATTTTTTTTCTCCGAAAAAATGAGATGACCATTTTATTTTCATCATAACTCCGCCAGTTTTTGAGCTATGAAATTTGTTCAAAAAGCATTTTAAAGGTCTTTCCAAGCACTTTAAAAAAGATTATATTCATTATTCATTTTCTTCAAAAAATTAGTTCCTTCACCATTATTTTACGGTAAAAGGTTCGATTTTACTTTCCGAAAAATAAACAATCACCTTTAGAGTGTGATAACTCGGTTATTATTACATCTACGGTAATCAACAAGAAGTAAATCAATTCGTTATTTCAAAAACATTATTTTTCTTAATATAGGTTTTTCGATAAAAAGCAAGGTTTTCGAGTTATTTATCAAAAATGGTTGAAAAACATGCACTTTTTAGATGAAAAATCAACATTTTCAATCGCAAAATATAAATTTTTGGAAAAAACGTTATAGATAAATTTTTGCTTAGAATTCATCCCGATTTTTGTGGTTAAAATGGGTGCCTTCATTGCTACCCTCGAAGGTGAAAGCACACATCGGCACTATGTAACTTTTGTCTTTTGAGTAATTTTCTACTTACTGTTAAAATGTCACGTCAATCAGTGCATGTGTCAAAAATTCGGACCTAAAAACCGTCACATACTGAGCTATTTACGATTTGAAATGGATCATACTGTATACTGGGTGTTAATAAAGTATGTCGACGAACTTTAAAAATTAATTTTTTAGTAATATTAAACCAGATCATTAGAAGTCCACGAGCCGAACTAAAACTTATATTTTTTATAAAATCTAAATAAAAATCCTTCTCGCGAACGTCAGTTTTTCGGTACTGTTGCAAATGCAATGAAAAATTTCCAGATTCATTTAAAGCCGTTTGACCTTGAAAAGAAAATTTTTGCTGTAGCAATTTTTTTTTTTCTGTTTAGTCAATCGATGAATATGCTTCACCTATTTTCAATGTCCCGAACCGCCACTGCGTTTCAACAGATGTAAAAAATTTTTTAAGACAGTATTTGCTTGCCTAATTTATTTTCTATAGAAGCAAAATTCCTATTATAACTGTTCTTGCTGTAAACTAATAAATAAAAAGTGGTAGATAGTGACTCCCATAAAATCTCACCCTGATGTTTCATACTGCATGCATAAAAATGGTCAACAAGGATTTTGATTGAGTCCCCATTTAGTAGACGAAGAGATTGGTGTCAAAATCCCCCGTGATCGGATTAATGGCCAATTTTATTTTTAATGTGTTGGTCGTATGTTTCAGAGGGTTTCAGAGTTTGCTGACAACCCTTGTGGGGCGGGGGCTGGGCGTGCGGGGGTAAATACGAAAATTGCCCCGTNTATGTTTTGGCCTTTTCGGGTAATCGGAATCTGAAACCATTGCTGTCATTGGCATACCGTTCACATTGCGTTCTGATATAGTTAGGATCTGCATCGGGCAGAAGCGCCTTAACTATTTGGAATTGTTCTTCCATATCGATTTCATTAGGCACACTTGGTTTATGTTTTGGCCTTTTCGGGTAATCGGAATCTGAAACCATTGCTGTCATTGGCATACCGTTCACATTGCGTTCTGATATAGTTAGGATCTGCATCGGGCAGAAGCGCCTTAACTATTTGGAATTGTTCTTCCATATCGATTTCATTAGGCACACTTGGTTTATGTTTTGGCCTTTTCGGGTAATCGGAATCTGAAACCATTGCTGTCATTGGCATACCGTTCACATTGCGTTCTGATATAGTTAGGATCTGCATCGGGCAGAAGCGCCTTAACTATTTGGAATTGTTCTTCCATATCGATTTCATTAGGCACACTTGGTTTATGTTTTGGCCTTTTCGGGTAATCGGAATCTGAAACCATTGCTGTCATTGGCATACCGTTCACATTGCGTTCTGATATAGTTAGGATCTGCATCGGGCAGAAGCGCCTTAACTATTTGGAATTGTTCTTCCATATCGATTTCATTAGGCACACTTGGTTTATGTTTTGGCCTTTTCGGGTAATCGGAATCTGAAACCATTGCTGTCATTGGCATACCGTTCACATTGCGTTCTGATATAGTTAGGATCTGCATCGGGCAGAAGCGCCTTAACTATTTGGAATTGTTCTTCCATATCGATTTCATTAGGCACACTTGGTTTATGTTTTGGCCTTTTCGGGTAATCGGAATCTGAAACCATTGCTGTCATTGGCATACCGTTCACATTGCGTTCTGATATAGTTAGGATCTGCATCGGGCAGAAGCGCCTTAACTATTTGGAATTGTTCTTCCATATCGATTTCATTAGGCACACTTGGTTTATGTTTTGGCCTTTTCGGGTAATCGGAATCTGAAACCATTGCTGTCATTGGCATACCGTTCACATTGCGTTCTGATATAGTTAGGATCTGCATCGGGCAGAAGCGCCTTAACTATTTGGAATTGTTCTTCCATATCGATTTCATTAGGCACACTTGGTTTATGTTTTGGCCTTTTCGGGTAATCGGAATCTGAAACCATTGCTGTCATTGGCATACCGTTCACATTGCGTTCTGATATAGTTAGGATCTGCATCGGGCAGAAGCGCCTTAACTATTTGGAATTGTTCTTCCATATCGATTTCATTAGGCACACTTGGTTTATGTTTTGGCCTTTTCGGGTAATCGGAATCTGAAACCATTGCTGTCATTGGCATACCGTTCACATTGCGTTCTGATATAGTTAGGATCTGCATCGGGCAGAAGCGCCTTAACTATTTGGAATTGTTCTTCCATATCGATTTCATTAGGCACACTTGGTTTATGTTTTGGCCTTTTCGGGTAATCGGAATCTGAAACCATTGCTGTCATTGGCATACCGTTCACATTGCGTTCTGATATAGTTAGGATCTGCATCGGGCAGAAGCGCCTTAACTATTTGGAATTGTTCTTCCATATCGATTTCATTAGGCACACTTGGTTTATGTTTTGGCCTTTTCGGGTAATCGGAATCTGAAACCATTGCTGTCATTGGCATACCGTTCACATTGCGTTCTGATATAGTTAGGATCTGCATCGGGCAGAAGCGCCTTAACTATTTGGAATTGTTCTTCCATATCGATTTCATTAGGCACACTTGGTTTATGTTTTGGCCTTTTCGGGTAATCGGAATCTGAAACCATTGCTGTCATTGGCATACCGTTCACATTGCGTTCTGATATAGTTAGGATCTGCATCGGGCAGAAGCGCCTTAACTATTTGGAATTGTTCTTCCATATCGATTTCATTAGGCACACTTGGTTTATGTTTTGGCCTTTTCGGGTAATCGGAATCTGAAACCATTGCTGTCATTGGCATACCGTTCACATTGCGTTCTGATATAGTTAGGATCTGCATCGGGCAGAAGCGCCTTAACTATTTGGAATTGTTCTTCCATATCGATTTCATTAGGCACACTTGGTTTATGTTTTGGCCTTTTCGGGTAATCGGAATCTGAAACCATTGCTGTCATTGGCATACCGTTCACATTGCGTTCTGATATAGTTAGGATCTGCATCGGGCAGAAGCGCCTTAACTATTTGGAATTGTTCTTCCATAT